CTCCATTTAAAATAATGAGAAATTCTACCAGGATTTCTACAAAATTACACTTTCAATTTATCTGTTCACACACCCCTGTGCTCTTTGTGAGTCTGATAAACATTTAATGGTAGTTTGTTAGTATGTGTGTGTGTGTGCGTGCCTACTCCCTTTATCACTCATTACTTACAAACAGCCTTCAAGGCAATAATTAGCTTCAACTTTGATGCCCACCTCTTTCCCACCTCCTTATTTAATTCACAAAGACACAGAAAAAAAACAAAGTACATGTTTCTGTTGTTATTTCAATGACACACACACACGTGCACACGCACACGCTGTGAGACTAATTGTGTTTTAGTGTAAAAATGACAGAACATTTTTTCACACCTCTGAGACCAATCTCTGTCCAGGGCTGCGTTTGGTTTCTTGTTTGTGTGTTTGCATTGGCTGTGAACACATGTCCACTGTTCTACAAGTGCTGCGACACTAACAAATCACTCACTGATATCAAATCAATAAGAGATACAAAAACACATTCAGGTTGATGAGTGTCAGCCACAAACCAAGCACAGGTATCAATGCCACTTACTCAATATATCAGAGACATCATCATGCACAACTTGGGCTGCATCTTACTCCGAACACAAGCACACACATGTACACACATACCCCTATGACACATGAAAAATAATGGAATTCAGTGGAGGCCAAATCATTGAAATTTATTATTGATTTATTTTGTTATAACTCCATCTCCCTGTACGATGATGAAGGGTAATTTTTGTTTCAGATATTGAATAAATGTCAAGTTATTGTTGTGGCTTGTAGCATGCAGACTTAAAACTGTGTGTGTGTGTGTGTGTGTGTGTGTGTGTGTGTGTGTGTGTGTGTGTGTGTGTGTGTGTGTGTGTGTGTGTGTGTGTGTGTGTGTGTGTGTTGATGTTGGGACGCAAACCAGACAAGACCAGCTGCTGCAGGTTGATGAAATGCTTTGAATAGCGACCTGCTTTGAACACAAGAACCATATTGGCGTGTACACCACTCTTTGATACGATTATTTATTTACCATTATTACCAGAAATATTAGCACTATGCCTAAGCATGGTAAAGGGAAACTTTGCTGTAGTGTGAGTGCACCCAAAGATGCTAGCTACAATGTAGAACTTGGTGCAATTTGGCAATGTTTGACACTGAATAGAAAAGAACATAAACAGTATGCAAAGGCTTGAGTTTTAGGTGGTAATATTATTGCTGCCATACATGCTTAGCAGTACACTGTAGGCCAACATCTTTTACATTCGTGTACTCCCCTGGAGTCAGATTGTACTTGATGTTGGTAAAAACAAGTTCATCAAAAAGAAAGTAAAGTGGGATATTCTGTGATAGAGGTAAGAACTGCATTAAGGTTATTTGAGGCATTTAATGGTTCTGGTTAAGGTTATTGTAAGTCTCTAGGTAGTCAGTGTAATACAAAAGATTACTTACATAATATTGTGTGTTTGAGTGTCTGACATCTTGAAATGTAATTATGTGGAAAATGAAACAGTCACAAAAGATATGTCTATTTCAGCTACTTATAATAAACAGACGCTATACAGTCTAAAATGTGCAAACCCAGGAACATCCAGCACCCTTCCTCTGGTTATAAATGACTGACAGCCTGTGAGGGATCAGCTGGAGGAATAAATCAGATTACATCAAATAAACAACACTGCCCTGCTGATACTTCATGTAGCAGCAATTCTCCACATTTACATCCCTGCAGGGTGCTTGTTAGCTTTTCTTGAGCCAGAGAAAATGACTAAGCTGACGTTACAGTAATTCAGGGAGGGGAACACACACACACACACACACACACACACACACACACACACACACACACACACACACACACACACACACACACACACACACACACACACACACACACACACACACACACACACACACACACACACACACACACACACACACACACACACACACACACACACACACACACACACACACACACACACACACACACACACACACACACACACAAGCTAGTAGCAACAGTCCTCTGCTGCTGTCCATGGAGCAGTATGGGGATAAAGCATCTTTCCAGAGATGTTTGGACAGTTATGGATAATAATTATAAACTTTATTATCATAAAGAGCAACATGAACAGATCCCTGATTGGAGATGCTGTTAAATAAGAGAGAGTGACAGCAGAAGCAGAGACATGCTGATTGCACTCTGACACAGTGATACAATATAAGTGATGAAGGGATTTGTTGTAGTGAAGCTGGACTGGACTGGACTTAGAGAGCGAACCTGAGGAAGCCACTATGTGAAACACGTTGTTCACTCCAATGTTTTGCATTCAACTTTAAAGTCAATCTGATCAATCCTGGTGTGTGCTGGATTACTCTGATCTTGAAAACTACAATGGACTGCTCCATTGTACAGCTCTGAATACCATGCTGTGTGCAAAATAACAGAGGTGTGTTTATGTGTGACTGTTTGTTATTTACCCAGGACACAACCTGCACCAATATATGCAGAATAGATGAAGCTACATAAGCTATGTTCTGTCCAAATAAATACACACAGCCAAAGTCATACATACTCATATTTAGATAGATAGATCAGTCATACAGTAAGAACACACACACATTCAGCTATTTTCTGTCATTGTCATATTACAGTAGCTCTGTCTCACTCTCAGCTTTCATCACAGTGGGGTCTTTAGTTTCCCTCAGGTTATAAAGTTCAGATCAGAAGCCGTCAATCAGCCGAATGATCCTAAAGCTGTAAATTAATGCTGTAATTCTTCCAAAGAGTAGAGAGTATAAGAGACTGAACATACTCTGAAATTCATAACTAGACAGGAGCCTCCTCTTTATTAGTTTTCCCAGCGGCTATCTGCATTAACAACTCTCATTAATCACCTTTCATTTGCTGCTGAGGTGCATGGACTTACTGTATATAGCCCACAGTCCTTTACCCATTTAGCTTTTATTCACGTTGAGTTGCCTGCACCATGAATCAGCACATAGTCTGCCATACTGCAGCTTGTCTTTCTTGTCCAATCGCATTAATCAACCTACATGAGTTTATCTTGATGAAGAGAAAACAGCAGTGTTGCCATTAAGCAGCTAGCTGGACAAATATCACAAGTAAATAAGATGAAACAGGACAAATGATACAATGATACTGTATCTCTGCCACATTCAGAATGTCTTTAGGCAGGTGAATAGGAATACAATACAATGAGCAGAGCAAGGTAATGATGCTTTCACATAGATGCAGAGCATGGTACAATTAAACCATTAACATCCCACCATGCTCAGTGGGGACTCAATTCAGAAAACACCTTTTTACATTAAGGGAATGCACAAACTTTACTGCTGGATAATTGTCTTAATTTTCGACATTTAAAAATAGAAACACATTTGCACATCACCATCAACTTTTAGAGTCATCTCTCTGAAACGACGACAGAGCAATGCTGCCATCTAGTGACCACCAGCGTAAACAACCAGCTCAAGTTGCCTCTCCAAGTGTACATTTGATGTAGCAGCTAGCACATCTCGCACAGCAGCATCAACACGAATACAGACAGTTTTAAATAAAGACCGTATTAAATGTTATATAGCATGCAAAAGTCTGACAGAAAAGCCACAGCCGAGATACAGAGCGATTTGAGTATTTGGTCTGCTTATCTGCTTTACAAAGCTACTCAAATTGCTGACATGATACACAAACATGTCCTTTTTCACAACACCACTGGGACTGACTACAGTAGCCTATAGGCTTCACAAAACCACTTCTAGTCTCTGTAAGGTGCTGCTATCTTGAAGAAGAGATGTCTCACCGTGTGAAGCAGTGGTGGCAGACTTCTTTGGCATGTTTGTTGGAGACACAGCACGCCAGCGGCTCGGCAGAGTACACCAGCTCTCCTCTTTTGATACTGGCTGTAGCCCGCAAACCATTACCTTTCCCCGGGCTGACAAAACGCTCCAGCCTGGGTGCCATGGTCGATTTTCCCTCCACGTGAAAACGCGCAGTGTTTACATCCGTCCTTGCGTCGTGACGTCACAAACACGTACACACCCACGTGTTACTACTAAAGTTAATGTTAAATACTAAAGATCATCTCGAACATTGGTATTCAGAGTTTTCTTATTATTAAACAAAATAGTTGAAGAACATATGTTCAAATAAGCTGTTTTCACGTTAAAACTGTATTTCGTGTTACTACGTAAACAAGAGACTTTTCTTGTTATGACAATATCGCGTTATAAGATGTGTAACGTAAAAAAAACACTAAAAAGTGTCGTGAATTGTAGTTTCATGCTCGTATTTTGACTAATGATGAGAAGATATCTGATTTTTCTTTCTTGAGCTATATTGCATCTTTGCATCATACTAGTTCTCTTCCGAGAGGTCTACTTATGAGATATCATATATCAGATGTTCATCTCTTCAGAAGACTACCCTATAGGTTATCCTTAACACGTTATGTTAATATTACAGACAATAGTAAACAGTTGCTTGTTAATTAAACATCAATTGTATGCCATTAGTCTTGTCATAGCCTTATCCTGATTTTTCTAAACTCAATACTTTTCTTGAACTTATCCAAACGAGCTAATCCATGCAAGACTTTTATACAATCCCCTCAATGGTGAGAAGCACATCTGTACAATATCATTTCTAAAGGGTTAGGTAGGTGACAGACTTTGGCCCCAAAATGTAAATAACCATGTTGCATGAAAACACTGTTCCCTCCTTGTTTGCATGAAGATTAAGCTTCAGTGGAAATTTCAGACAGCTTTCACAAGCGAGCCTTGCACACTATTTTGTCTAGTCCTGAAAGCGTAAAATCAATAGTTAAGACAAAAAATATGGATAACAAACCAGATAAATATAACTAAATAAATAAAAACAAGCAAGTGCGATGTGTCAGTGCACAGCTGTGATGTGAGGGTAATGTGTTGCAGAAGAGACAGAATGGAAGCTCATAAAACAGCTGTTTTCATTGTTTTTAACAGGAGGAATACGATATACATAAGGAGAGAGTTGTTTTTTAACAACAAAAAACGTATCCTATAACAAAATGTAAAAACAAAGAGAAAACATTTCATCAAAACAATTATAAACTGCCTTTCATCAGCTCGATAACAGAGGTACACAGTAATACACACACAAATCATCCATCCATTTGTAATGTTCTGTTAAAAACCAATGAATATGAATCTTAACTGAAGAAGTTAATGACAACAGCAGTTAAAATAAACATAAAGGTAAATTAATGAAACAACATAAACATATAACGATGACTGATATGATGGTAAAAAAAGATGAAAACATTACTGGTGTATTATGTCAATAATAAAGCAAAGCATAACAAAAGCAAATGAACAAATGCATCCTTTTTTTACCATGCTAGACATCTGTCATGTGATAAATAATTAAAACTATCCAGAAGATTAAATAAATGGTTATCTGTGTGAAAGTCATCTGAACCAGCCAGATGAAATGTGCAAATGAAACAAGAATCAATCTGCAATTCCTCACATCCCGGGAAGAAAAACCCCTCACATCTCAAAGTGATTTTCAGGTTTTTGTGACTGAGGACAAATCCTGAGAGAAAAAGAACAAACTCAAACCGTATTAAATGCATAGTTAAGACACCTGACTCTCCTCTTCAAGAGTTTTTTTCTTTACATACTGACAATAAAGACCCTTATGAGATATGTGTTTTTTTGAGGGCATTTTTGTGGAATCTGCAACAACCCTGAATAAAAAGAAAATAATTAAAAGGACACCAAGCATTGCAATGTGTTCAAATGAAATAAAAAAAGATGGATGACAAGGCATAAAAGTGACCCCAATAAGAGTTGACATTTGCTAAGAAACAGTTTTTGAAATAAGAATCAAAGCACTGGTGTGAGAATAAAGTGTCTTAAGGCGAAACCTCAAACTCAAAGGTGTGCAGAAATGAACTCTTTAAGATGACACGTTAACTGAATGACTCCTTAAGAAGACCGGCTGTGGAAAAAGATGATGCAAAGAATCGCTAAGAAAAAATCACAGGCAGGCAGATCTGGACAGTGCTTCAAATGACCCCATCAACCTCAAGGTTTGCATTGACAGTACACTGAACAGTTGTTTTCAACATCAATCATGCAATTCAATTTTTTTTTTTTTGCTGCTGAAGTTAGTCCTTACCCAGCCAGAGCAGCATAAGACATGATTATTCTTTTTTCTGGCTATCAGTGCAAACTTATGTTCCCTGGCATCCAGTTTGGGATTGGGGTCATTTTTTGCTTCTGATCAAATCGAGTAAAGCCTGTAGCACATAGATGTTAAGAAAATCATACCTGTCTTATGTGCAACATGATAGACATTCTTCTGACAACAGCTATATACAGAGGTGCACTGTGTTCATGTACATGTTGCATATGCTACACAAAGCTGGGGTGGAAGGTACACAAGAAGTACAGCTGTGCTTCTCATGTAGAGCTCTTTAGCAACTGCTCGATGTTAATGCAATGCACGACATCAGATAGCAGTTGTTAAGATAAAAACATGTTATTTTACCCCATTGGACAAGTTTGATTTGTCTGTTGTCCATTAGCCCAGTTTGGTGAATACCAAAATAACCCTTTCAATTTTGTATTTCTGGCAATATAAAAATGCCCCACAGATAAAAACAAAGTCATATTTAACAATAAACTCCAAACATTCATTAAACGCTTGATTAAGACATAGAGATTTCATTCCAAGTAGACCACTGAATGGTTTGTTCATTTAAAAATGTCATTTGTGAATTGAAAAAGTCAACAATAAAAGCAACACAAGTGGTTGCAGCAGGCTGTAAAATGCCCTTTGGGCCACTTCCCATTTGTGCAGTATATGTGTGGAGCAATCACGCCCAGTTAACAAACTATACAATAGATACCATTTTCACAACTCCAGGTTGCAGCTGATCATACCTTTTTATTATTTTTAACTCAGGGAGCTGAGTTTATGAATCCAGTGTGAGGCAGTTACATTTTGTATCCAGCCATGGTTATCTACCAATGACTTTAGACTAAAGTATCACCAGCTCATGGTGAACGTGTTTGCAGCTATTTCAGTATGACATTGTAGTTGTATTCAGGATTTCTAAACCTAGCTTAAAAATGTATAACCTATATTAAAGGGGCTGCAGTTCAGTTATTCTTTTATTTTTAGGTCACCTCTATTCTCCAGTTATTCTCTCTCCCTCCGTTCTGCTTTCCCTTTCTGACCTGTGTTCTTCAGTCTCATCTGACCGACAACTTTAAGTCTTAACCCTACAACCAAACATTAAATATGCAGGCGAAGGCCTAAAATGCCATCTGATCCTATATTATTGTTCAGTCAATTAGGCAGCATAATAGCCACCTGCTCCGCAGTATGCCAGGGACTGCAGCAGCTGCCCGGCAGCAGCTGCCTGGCAGAATTACCTCGGAAAAAAGTGTCCCAGGAAGTGCCTGAACAAGCAGCCCAAAACTGCCACAGTGATGACACATTGCTGCTGCTATGACCCGGGGGTGAACCAATGCTGGATGTGAGCTATCCCCCGCTGTAGCTGGCCCATGTAAAAGTCTGCATTTCTAGAAAAGTCCTGACAGACTGAGGAATGGGCATCGCCCAGAGCACAGTAGAGGGCTGTGCCACCTACACTGATCACCACGGTTACCATACAAAGCAGGAAGAGAAGCAGGCAGGAGTCCCCACCGCCAACATCTGCAAGGAAAGAGAGACAGTAAGAGAGGAGCAGGGGGTTGGAAGAACATCAGAGAGCAGATTAATAATAAAGAACAGAGAATTTAATATTTTCTAAATAGAAAAAATACACATGAATCTCTAAATGAAAAAAAAACACACCATGCTCATAGCCGTCATCAGGGACTTTGAAGCGGACCCGTCTTTTAGCAGGGGCTTGGTCAGGCATTGCCTCTGAGGTAGCAGAAACACTCATGTTGTCCACATAAGCCTTCCTCTTCTTTAATATGGAGACCAGGCCAGATGCAGGAGACATCTGAGAAGCAGATGAGCGCATAAAGAACATGTAAATTATTTCCATTTGATCCAAATAAGTTGTATCTGTTCATTTTCACACACTGATACTGAAAACATTGTGTTTGAGGAAGAACTTGTCTTTGCCTGTCTCTACAACAGGTGCATCCAATCAGCCATGTCAACCAGCAGGTGTCAGCATATCACACTAGTATTACTGAAACACTCAATCAACGCTCCTTCCCACTGATACACAGTCAGTCACATTTCCTTCAGAGAGAACTAATTCATATCAAACCTTAAATGATCATCCCAATCTCAATGCACAAACACTGAAAAGTAATTTATGACTGAAAATGAAATTTGGTCAAGAGCAGAAAGACTATCAAGGCCAGGCAGAGTAACTTACTTAGAAACTATACTTAGAAATACTCTACTTATCACTGCATCATGTCAAAACATGTCAAAGATCTAGCAGGATTAATCTGATCACTGACAGTTTTGCCCAATGTTATGTCATCTGAAGGGTGTGTACCTTACAAATGTTTGAATTGGAAGCAGATTATAGTGTGAGAAAAAAGAAAAATGGGCAATAACTCTTGTTCTGGTACTGCTTTTGCTTCAAGGCTGCAATATATTTAGAAATGCATATCTATGAAGTCTGTCTCACTATTGACACACAGCCTGCTGGGAAAAAACAGAGTGGTCCAGTAAGATACGTTTCAGTTCCACAGCTTGAGTAGACTACAGAGACTAAAGCAACCACAGCTTTATCAAAATCTCCCTGGTTGCTCTTCATCCTGTAAGTTATCAAAACCAGGCCATTTCTCTGCTCCCTCCGTCACTGCTCTCTGCTCTAAGCAGCCACTTGTTTTTCATTTGCGTGTGCCCCAGTTTCTTTCTTTCACACACAAAGAATTCTAAAAAAGTCAGTAACCAGTGGACACAGACTTAAAACCACATTAAAGTATCAGAAATCATTTCCTTAGAATAACTCTACGGTGTTACCGCAACAAGCAGAAAAGTGCACGACTCACTAACAATATTTTCTGTTCTCTTGATTTCTTCTATACGTCTGTCTCTCTCAATATAGAGTTTAATTTCTTTGTGGCTTCAGTATCAGAAAAACAAGTCCATTGTCTGGGGATGTCAGGAAAGGTGAGGTAATACCATTAGGGCGGCTCAACAGAACACCAAGCTGTCCGTAATATAACAGCTTAGACGGGCTGATACAGACAGACTGGGGCCTGAAACGGTCAATAAGTCATCAATCTGAAGTATGCATTTATAATATGCATTTACGGATCTACTAGTGTCATTCTGCAGAGATTTAGAGGGAGAAAGAAAAATTCTAATCATGGTAGGTTATATGCAGATCTGTGCAAATTGTTTTTATACTACAAACAAGCACAAAAGCAAGAAGTCACTCCTCCTTATTCCTCTTTTAACAGCACATGTGTAACTCTTGTTTTTTAAGATTACAGGTCAAAACAGACACACTGAGATATAATTAGTGTTTGGTGTCTTGCCTATTTTCTCCACGTGCCTCCATTTAACAACAAAGAGAATGCAGTAGCATGACATGTTCAGTCAGACACAGCAATGCAGCGAATATTATAGCTACACTTTAAATCCACAGATAGAGGGAACCTGGGACCAGGATAGATATATCTATAAGCAGACACAGAGTACAGTGGCTTTAGTCTTTGTAGCTCTGGTTGTAGATTCGACTCCTGATCCTGGTGTATGTCACTGCCCCTCCACAAATTTCCTATCTCTATACCCCCTGTGAAATAAAGTCCAAAAGCTCAACACAAAATAATTATCTTACATTTTTGAAAAGTTATGAGATTTTGAGCTACAGGTGCTCAAAGAGCTGCAGAGAGAAGTTTTAGTGCTCCGGGAAAAAGACTGGTGAGTGCTTTTCTCTACATGGTAATGTGCTGTCTATCATTTACTCCACAAGGGAACAATTCAAACGGCACTATATGGACACAAACTCTTACTCATCCACAGAAAAGCAATAACAATGTACAAACCTCCTCTACTGTGATGAGTTTAGCCATGTCGTCCAGTACGGCAGCTTCTCTGATCATGTCAATTTGCTCTACTTCGTACTCCTCCTCTTCCTCCTCTTCCTCCATGCTCTCCTCAGTCTGCTCCTGCTGCCTCATATGAGCCTCTTGAGGCAGAAGGGCCTGATGTTTCAGGTGGGTTTCAGCTCTCTCCTGCAGCGATAATGGAATACAGTAATAAATGTATCGACATTGGCTATATGGAGACACTAATCCATTTTGTTGCTCTACAATCTAATGGACTGCTATAACATAGAGGAGATTGAGGCTGTTGAATTTGCAGCCTAAAACATCCACTGATGAGTGGGTTGTTCCCAAGAAGAAAAATCTGTAATAGAGGAAGCGATACCTTTCATATTTCTAGTAAAAGCAAGAATGGTTTGCCGAGCAAAACAGAGGAAGTGAGAGGTTTGAATAGCTTACTTTGAATTATAAACCTAAAGAAACTCATCAACACAGGAAAACAACCATGATACTGGTCCTGGTCCTAGTGACACAGTTTAACTGACAAGTTCTTTAAAGAAGTCTAGTACAGATTAAAAACAAAGCAGACAATCTAGGACCTCAGCTTAATTGTCAGACTCTGAAATATTTAAAAAATGATTGTCCTCTTTTTACTTTGATTTGTTTTTAAGTCATATTTAGTAAAATATCGTCAAAGCCAACGTACCTGGGTCTCATCATGTACCTTTTCCTCATCTCTGTCTTCCTGGTGCAGATGTTGTACCTCCACCTCTGCCCCACTGATCAGAGTCTCTACTGGTAGAGCCTTCTGACATAAAGGAGAGTCTCTTTCTTTCTGCTTCTCCTCCTCTTCGTCCTCTCCCTCATCTTCCATCTCTAGAGCTTCGGCTGCCTCCTCCACGTCACTCTCCTCTTCTTCCCTTTTTGCCTCCTTTTCCTGTGCAAGACCTAAATCTCCTCCCTGCAGCTCTGCGGGCTTGGACTGATCCATTTCTCCAGTCAGAGAGGGGTGCAGTTCATTTACTATTCCTGATGTGGTGCATGCTACCCCTTGTTCTTGATCTCTTCTCTCTGTGTTGCTGCAGTCCCTCCCCCGTGATTCCCTGTCTGGGTCTTCCCTGCCCTTTTCTGACATCTCAGGGGAATTGTGCCCGTCGGACGAATTAATGAAGGGTATGACTGGACAGCTGCTCTGAGAATGGGAGGAGTCTTCTGCTCTCTGCTCCATCCCTCTGTCACTCTGATGGGCTGGATAAAAAAGGGAAACAGACAGTAGAGAGAAAAGGGCAGTAGGGGAGGAATAAGGTAGAAAGAGAGGGAAATAGTGAAGGAACACAGAGAAAAAAACAAACAGTTAAATGCTTTAACCAAAAAAAATAAAAACAGCTCCTGATGGAGTCAACTTCCCAGCAAGAGAAGCCATGAGTTCATGTGAGCTTGACTTTCTGACTAATGTCAACAGGATCATAATAAATGCTCAAAAGGGACATTGTTGCACTATAAGAAGGGAAAGCTGCAATAAAATACAAACTACTGGTCCTACACAGAAAGGCTTGTTTTTCTTTACAACAATGTGGCAGTAATGGAGCATACAAAAACAATGGGAGGTACTTGCATTGACATTTTGTAACCAGCATTCTTTTTTTCTTTTTGTAATCTAGTCACAAAAACTAGGTGCCTATGGACTCACCAGTTTTTAACCATGTTGCATAGCAAATGTCTTCTTTAATACAATCAGTAAACATAGAGAACGCATTTTCTAACAGTGCAAAAACAGTAGATAGAAGCTAGTGGTTAACAAGGCAAAACAAAAATGTGGAGTAAATGCGTACAATTAAATTTCATGCAATGATCAGAGAATATAAAAGCAAGACAACTGACTACAAAGTCCTTAATGTAAATAAGAAAAGCCTCAGTAGTTAACAACAGGCAAGGACACAAGGTTCCTGGATTGAATAAATTCAGTCTTTCCCCTAGGTTTACAGCGTTGGGGGGGTTGGGGACAAGCCAACATGCCGACACGGCGACACGACGACACGACGACACAAACACTTGAAGGAATCTTGGTGTTCATGTGTTACTTTTAATGACAGCTGTCCTTTTCTATCAGAAAGGTATCCTTAAATGACTTCTTTCCCTGATTTCCGACTCTATCCACTATCCTATCTCTACTATAAAGGCACAAAAAGCCCAAAAATAAATATATATATAGATATATATATCTATATATATATATACATTTTTTTTTTTATACTTGACCTTCGGGGGGGGGGGGGGGGGCGCCCCCCTAATATAATGGTAGGGGAAACACTGAAAGTCATCCAGTCTATCACACACTTCTCTGTGTGAACGCGTTTACAGGTGAGTGTACGTATACAGGTTCAATTCAACGAAAGATCTTGTTCGTTTCAACCGTTGTACTTCTTTTTTTAAACACTGTTTTACATGTTCATTACATGTTTTTTTTAATGGTATGCTTCCCGTTTAGTTGGTTGTATAAGTGATTTGTTGTAAATGGCTACAGAGGCAAAATAAAAACCAACATTCACTCACTCACACTAAATACACTTAGGGCCCACATACACTAGGCAAAGTTGTCATGAACCGTGCTTAAGCACGATTGCCAGTGTCAGTGTGCCCTAACTCTATCACACAGTCACTTACTTGAAGTACATGGAGGCAGGGCACCACCTTCTTCAATTGTGGTCCTCAATAAATCCTGAGATGCACACTGTAAAAACACACACACACACACTTAAATAACAAATATTCACTTGAACACACCACACCTGTGTGTACATGCAAAATGCACTTTACAAAGGTGTACATAATGGACACTTAAAAGGTGTATCACGTTAGATTTAAGTGGTCACTTTCACATTTAAGCTGCCTTATCTCACAGTATGTTAGTGTGTTTTCTCTGGCTCAGAAACAGACAAGGAAAAATGGAGGAATGACTTACCACAGCATCTTCAGCACATGGTCTATGAAAAGAAGAGAGAGACAGCGTGAGATGGTGCGAGTATTGCAGGTCTGTTCTTGGTTTTAGTAAACGAAGATGTTAAAGATGGAGGGTGACCCTTCTTTACTCTCCCAAACTAATTTTAGCCCAAGCACATTTCTCTGACTATCACATTGTGTGTCTGTGGGCGCATTTGTGTGTGTGTGTGTGTGTGTGTGTGTGTGTGTGTGTGTGTGTGTGTAAGTTGCGTGAAGTGAAACCCTAGTAGTGTGAGGGCTCAAATGTCTAAAAGTGCAGCATTAGCAGCAGCAATGGGACCATATGTTGAAACTATCAGTGCAGTCTTCAAGCCACACACAGATAAACCAGCTCAGTCATACAAACTTAGACACACACTTCACCTGTTCTGGAGATAAATGTATGTGTGTGTGTGTGTGTGTGTGTGTTTGGTACTAAAAGGTGTGTGTCTGGCAGGTGTAGTGCACTGAGGACTTCTTATTAAATATTGAGAAATGCCAAAGTGGGCTTCACCTTTGTTACACTTGGATGAGCACAACCAATAACAGTCACACACTACTCACCACACAACACACAAACACGTACAACACACACACAAACATCCACACAAGATCCTTCAAAGAAGCCCAGAAGAACATACATTGTACCTTTGCAGTCAAATAATTATTGATTTGTAAAATTAGAATTTTCTGGAATACTGTAAAATCTTTAAAATAGTTCACCAACCATTACCTTCCTTACCGTAGGGTTTGCATTTCTGAGACTATAAAAGCAAAAACACATCATACTATTCACTTACTAACCCTAACCCTTGAAAATTGCATGTAGACTCACCGACTGTGTGTCTGGCAGATGTTTTTAAGAGTGTCCAGATGTCTGGTTGCCAGGTTTGAGGAAGTCCTTTTACATTGACTCTCTATGAGAGATGGAGAGACACACAGAGACACAAACATTTAATATAACAAACATTAAATATATAACCTGTTTTTTTTTTTTTTTTATCATGTGATAACTGAAACTACATTTAATACATATTATTGTGATCTAATGGACCATAGTCATTCTGGGGAAGGGTTTTTATGTCTTACAGCTGTGCATGTCAGCACATACAATGACAAGAATAACATCCAGAAATATTTGAAGAGATCTGATCAGACAGAACAAGTTCTGCATGTTGCATTTCCAAAGAAGGTGCACTACTTTTGTTCAAGCCTAACATTCAAAAAATCCCCTGCTGTTATCCCTAATGTGATTGTGCATGAAAAAACACTGATTCATAAAATAAATCTAGTAATAGAGACAGGCCAAGTAGTTTTACAGAGGTCCAATCAAAGTGTATCAATAATAAAATAACACAATGTGTGTTTACGTGTGCATCTGATGTTTGTGTGCATGTGTTACCCCACTGCTCCTGTAGTGCATTCAGGTTCTCCAGTACCCTCTGGTGATAGAGCTTCTCTAACTGGATGCACCATAACGCCCGCTGGTCTGAATATTGCAGGTTAAGGAACACATACATGATGCAAAACAGCGCTGCAGGATACCATTTGCTTTAAAACTGCATCAATTCTGCTCCTGAACTGTTACAACATACAGAAGTAAAGGGGGAAACAAAAAAGTAAGACGGAGGAAATTGGAGTAAAAAGCGAAACAGAGAGAGAAGACGAGGAGGAAGCAGAGTCGGGCCAACAGAGCGCTCTGGGATAAAATGTCTCATGTTTATGGATATGAGCAGCAAAAACACAATCCTTCTTCGACATGACTCAATGCCTTCTCTCCTCTCTCTTTGTCCTTAAATTACTATAGACATGCATGCATAACATAGAAAGGCTAGCTCTCCCTTCTCTTTGACATTTCTCACTCCCACTGCATCTCATTTTTATGTAACCGATGTCAAATGTCATCATCGTCACTCTCCTGACTCCTATCTCTCATCTGACAAAAACATTGTTTTGGCAACATACTGCGGATTCATTTACTGTCATGTCAGATTGGAGTTTTAATCTGGACATCTATCTCCTCTCTTTCCTTTTGTCTTTATGAGTCATGAGTCTCTGATCAACTACTGTGCTTTCCCTCTCTCTGTTTCACCAGGTGTGATCATCCCTCTTCTTCTCCTTATCCATTTATGTATCTCGTCCCCTTCAAAAGGTCTATTTCTGCACTTTTCGTCTATGACACTTCTCTCCCTTTCTTGCTCAACTTTCAATCACACTAAAACCAGTGAGGCATTAAGTGAGCCACTGCAGCTCAGTGATAGAGTCGGCCGTCTCTCAACCAGAAGGTCAAGGATTCGATCCACAGGTCCTGCAGTCACATGTCCAAGTGCCTTTGGGCACTAAACCCCAAATTACAGCCAGCAATGTGCAAATTACAGCCAGCAATGTGCAGGTGTAGGTCTAGAGGACTATACAAGTCCATTCATCATTTACAAATCATTCCGTATTGTAAGGCTCTGAGTATAATGTGTGCAAAAATACTGATTTAAAACATAGATCAAGTAGTAAAAACATATTTTAAAAACAACGATACCTGGTTGGACAAATAGGCAGGCCCACAACAAGGTAGGTGCAACAGAGAGATAAGTTGCCCCCCCACACACACACACACACACCAGCTCACACACACAATAAAGATACAGTCTTCCTGAAGGACAAAGGCCTCAGCAATCTGCAGAGAGAGAGAGAGAGAGAGAGAGAGACTTTATAACTTAATAAATTGCATGCTTTTAAAACTTTTATACAATGCTTTTATCACATCTGGTTGTGTCACAAAAACTTTGAAGGAAACTGGGAAGACATTTCCTGACTATATGACAGATCACTTGAACAAAATTGAGATCTGTCAGGAGTGAAGATGAAATACACAACCACATAAGACATAGAAAAGCTTTACAGACATGTTACTGTACTGCCACAGCTGCAATGACTTCTACAATCATTAACTATGACAGGCACACAATATAATCTAATCTCAGACACATATTAAAATAGACCAGCTAATACCCTTACATTACAACAAAAGACTAAAAGAGAGAGTGAAAAGAAAGACAGAAAATTGAGAGACTGTGGTAGACACTCTACCTCTCTCCTCAGTGAGTGTCGCTTTCATGCTGCTCAGCTGATCACAGAACAAGAGGAGTGAGTGTGTGTGAGAGGCAGAGAGAGAGAGAGGGAGAGAGAGGGAACACAGATAGACGAAAGCAAGAGAAAGGAGGAGGGCACAAAAGGCTCTCGAATTTCTAATCAAGGTAGGGGTGGTGACGACTGAAGGACCTCTAAAGGCAGCCACACGGACTTAGCTCAGATAAGAAGTAAAAGTATTTTTTTCAGTACTTACACATCAGATAAACACAAATTGAAGAACAGAGTTAAATTAATTTAAAAAAAACAGCCAGGATTTAGGATTTAAAAAAATGTGAAATCCAATGACTCAAATATTAATTTATGTTCTTTTCTATCTTTCCATTTAATGTACCATTATTTCACATAATACACTTTTAAAGTCAAAGTAATAAAAAAAAGACATCTTTAAGTTTGATGATTCAAATTTTTCCATTCTTTGAATTTTCTCAGCATGTTTGTTGCTCTGCCAACAATTCATCCTTATGCTAATGGTTTGGCGTCTGAAGCGGTGTTCATTTGAGTTCACGCTTCCTGTTACTTCTTTTGCTTTCCTAAATCCTGTTTGCACGTAATATGTTACTTAGTTCTTATCTTAATCTTTCTTGGATTAGAAGCCAGCACTGTACATGTTAAGTAACTGTATGAGTCATACATTTATCTGACACATTTTACATTTTTACAGGGGTCTTCAAATAGAAATAGTAACACTCCCATTCATTTCAATTTTAACGCTGCTGTTTCTGACATGTGGGCATCCAATCTATGGGAAAATAGACCACCAATTTTCAAGTAAGTCAATTCATGGCCCTCTGAAACAGAGCAGCACTATGCACAACTATATTCAAAGAGTTGTTCCAATATCAATAGCAGCCTTAGAAATGCATTTGAAAAAACCTAAATCCATCATGAATTGATGAGTATGGTAGTGCATCTAAAATTAGAAATAATCTATTCTTCACCGCTCTAAAACAAACAGCCAGACAGCAAGTAGTGCTGAATGACACACAGAGACAGATCAGATCTTTGCTGCCACCATGGCAGGAACCACCCACAACTAGAGTTTATAGCTGCAAACAGCATGATGACAGCGAATAACTACAGCCCCAGCAGGAGTTAATGAAAGCTAAGATATCTCTAGGTGCTTTGTTTCTTTAACGTAAAGATTCCTTCAGTGTTCACTGTTCACACGGTTTGTACTGGGAAGTGTATTATTCATGTTCTTCTTTACTAAAAAAACAAATGTCCCTGGGCATTTTAAAATAAAGCAGCATAAAGCATTAAAAATCTGTCTCTCTGAGTAAGTGACATTTATAAAAAATCATTCCATATGAATTCTTGTTTCCTTCAGATTTTAAATTGAGTTTCTCATGACTGTGAGAACGTGATATTGAAAGTCTTATTGCATTAATTCTCTATATGTTTTTAGATCAGTTCTCATTAACGGTCAATTTGCAAATGCAGTAGGTGGGTAGTGGTAATCAGTAGTGGGAAGAAAAGAAGGGGTTTGGAAGATCACTAGTGTTGATGTGCGTGCTGTGCAAGAGAAATGCATAAAATATTTTAGATCTTAATCTCTCACTTTAATCTACATTCCATCAACAACTGGAAATATGAGCAAAGGGGGTTTAGATTAACCAGTTAGACACCTGTGTATTTTTTGATGTGGGGGTGTTCCTGACAGAAGCAGTCTCATTTCGTCTGGAGGTGGGTTTTAAAACACTTTTAGGTCAGTCAAAGAGTAGAAAAAGTTCATGCGAGTACAATATGTATCATATTCTCAGTCTCCCCTTGCTCACTCACACACCTGTTGCCCTTGAAGTAAGCATAGCTCAGGTGTGCCTGGTGCAAGTATTAGTTAATCAAACTGACAGAAATATTCACACTCCCCATAAAACACATGTCCAGTCATGCAAGTCTGTGTGTGCAAGTTAAAAAAACAGAAGGTAGGAGAGTGCATGTTTTTTCATTTAAGTGCACGTGGCTTATGACCTCTCTTCTGTGCATGTCTGCATTTGTCTGTACAGACCCAGCAGACGCCCGTGCCTCAAGGTACAAAGTGCCATTCCCGGTTATGGGGTTGAGTGGATAACAGTGATTGAATAACAAGTGGAAGAGCAGCAGCTTAGACAGCAAGACTAACTTAAAGAAACCATTAAAGAGAAGGAGTATCTGTTCAAATAAGCAGCTGACAGTGTTGGTAGTAGTAACACAAAGCTCACAGTATGACACACATGCTAGAGTAAGACAGATGGGTTACCTGGTGCAGGTACTGTGGAAGTTGAGGGTTATCTCCCCTTTTTGCGAGCTGCTCCAGACTCTCCAACAAAGTAGGGCTTGGTCCTGTGGCGCAGGTGGGGACTGAGAAACAAGTGGGCAATGGAGTGGAGGTAAAAATGTTTTCCCAATTTAAAGTGAAAGGTCCTGTGGTGGAGGTTGATTCTGTACAAGGAGCCATAAGCCCTGTAGTAAATGCAATAGGGCTGGTTGCTGCACTCACAGGGGTGGAAGCTACAGAAACTCGGGGCTCATGGTTGAAGACAGGCTTTGTGGATGAGGAAAGATAATCTGTAGAGGTATTAGTAGTTTTTCCTGTGGTACATGAAGGTCCTGGTGGGCTGTCAGGCCTGATGTCTGAGGTCTTGTTTTGTGTGTTTGAATCTAAAGGCCCTGTGCTGACGACAGGTGCCAGTGTAACAGTCTCTGTATGAGATGGAAAAGATTCAGTGTTTGAGTTGTTAGAGTCCACTTTGACATCATCCTGGCTCAGTTCCACTTGAGTGATGGGACATGCTTTTTCTGGACTGACCACTGGGATGACAGGGGATGTAGGCTCGGGACTGGTCCCAGGGCTAAAAGGATATTGAGTTTCCATGAGACTGCCTAAAGAAGCAAACAGGAAGAGAGAGGAGGGAAGGAGAGTGAATGAATAGATCACAGAGGATGAGCGGAAACAGGACAGCTGTAAAAACTCCTAAGAGCACAGGTGACTGGAAGAGTTTGACACTGTACAAATACATTACATACATTACAACAAGTATAAAGTCAGCTGCCCGTTCACTAGAAAGGTGTTTTGTCTAACAAACACAGTTAGATGCGCAAGTAAATTTATGTGTCTCTCTAATCTTAGTGTTAAAAGATCTAGTCTCTACTCCATTTATTCTCTTAATGTCCTTTATCCTGATCGCTTTCTCTCTATCTAAAAGCATTCTTACACCTTCTTTTTCTGATTTCACTGAACTATTCAATCCTTCAATTATATGATCGGTATGACATCATCACCCCCAGACACTCTGACCTTAATCCAAAATGCTGACCACTTAAAAACACACACAGGGCTTTACAACAATGAGTGAGCCAGATCTTGATCAGAGTATTGGCATTCACTCCACTGTGTCCTCTTGAACCATCATAAGAAGTAAAAGGTCAAACTCAGTGACACAAACCAGAGCAATAGTTCATCTGAAAACCAGAGACTCTGAATGATATTCAATTAACAGTTTTGTCTCTAATAACACCAAAATATTTTCCTGACTGACTTAACAAACATCAACTGTTTGATGATTAGATTTTTTTTTGTTTGAAACTAGAACTTAAGTAGATTTGCATATTCATTTAGTATATTAGCAACACTCCCAAGGATCTAAATCTTGCTTTAGTGTTTTCTTCTCTATCCTACCTTAGATATTATCTCAAAGCTGCATTAATCGTTACATTAACATGGACAAAGGGATAAACTGCAGGTAATATGAAAGGAGTGTCTCACAGTGACAACCAAAGAAAATGAATAGGTAGCATTTTAGCCTCTTTTGGGTGATTAATTTGATTCTACGATCAGCAAAAATATTTGTACAGTTCATAAGTAATTGATCATTACTCATAATTAGAAGCCTTGTTACTAGGGGAACAGCAAGAAGCTTTTTTTAATCTGTTTCTAACATACCATTGCTACCCCTCAGGAGTCGAAACAGCAGACTAAGTGAGTGGCCAGTATGTGACAAATGTTGAGTGATCAAAAATGTTCTACAAAGTTGCAGTAGATTAAATTAAAAAATGGAGCCAAATGGAGAATAAAAGTCAGGGTGTATTTGATCTGATTTCCTCTTTTATGTGCGTAAGTTCCCTACCTGTTTCTGAATAGGATGAATCAGTCATGGGCGTGCTGGGAGACTGGCAGCGAATGAGACAGCTCGATCCCTCTGATTCCTCCTCTTCCTCGTCTTCCTTCATGACCTCATCCATGTCTTCCTCATCATCCTCCTCTCTGTGTCTTTCTGTGGATCCCTCCTTTCCACTGCTGCTGAGAGCGTCATCCCTGATGAGCCTGCACCCTCCTGCGTCCTCATTTTGTGAAGGAGAGAGACTCTGAGTGTGTGTGTTTTTCTCGTTGAGGTTTCGAGTTTGGGCAGTGAGAGCTTGAGGGTTAGGGAGATTATCACAGAGGTCAACCCCGCCCCCCTGGATGTGGGACATTACTCTGCCCTCCCTCTCAAACTGGCCTGGAAAGATCATAAAGGATTGGCTGAAATTACTATCAAATTCACAGAATAAGACAGACAAAGAATTTCTATACAGTATAAATGTCACTCAGGTGGCTTTGTCTTCACATTTTCAAGTCAGCTGCAACTGTAGTAAAAGTAACAAAACAAGCCTGTCTTATTCTCAACAGCTCTGAGTTGATGTTAAAGTCACATGCAACCTATTTGGATGCATATTTAAATTTAGCATTTTGCTGTTCTAAAATAAGTTGGACTTATATTTAGTGTTTTACTTTGGTGAAATGTAAACACTCACCACCATGATCCATCGGGCACAGCCCCTCACAACGTTTGACCTTTAAGCCTGAAGGTCAGAGCACTCTGTTAGAGAAGACCTTCTTTAAGCCTGCAGAGATCAGGAGAAAGAGACTTAAGACAGGCAAATGTCAAGGACAGAAAGTAGGAGAAAGGCAAATAAAGCCCGACTCAACTCTCTGACTGCAAGAGTGAGAAAGTGAGAACTACAAAACAAGTATAACATCATTCCTGAGTCATCAAACAAACCCTAAGGCTTAACGAGATTCTTTAAAAACCTTTACAGTGCAACATTTTTACATTTTGTTCAGTAGATGAAAACGCAGATGAAAATAATGTATTTCTCTAACGATTGAATTCAATGGGTATCAACGAACACATTCATTAATTATGACAACAAACATGACAATATATAATACCAAAAAATCAACAAAACAACAAACTCTGCACAAGTTCTAAACTTGACGAATCAAATCACATAGAAATCCTTACTAACTTAACTCTGACTTCACACTGAAGAAGACAAATGTCTTTGCCCAATCAGAAGCAAATTTACTCTCCTGACACTTATGCATATGTTACAATCATTGAGCTACGAACCCACAAGAATGAACCTCTTCTGGAAATTTGAATGTCAAATTATCAGGATCAAGGATCACATTTTTAACAAACTTCTTATAGAAACCAAGAATAGATGTGAAAAAGCACCTACAAAAAGCAGTGAAAAGAATCTAAGATGGGAGACAATAAGCACACAGAGCCACATGAGAGAACGACAATAAAACATTTACAAGTTGCCTTTGAGGCTTTAACTCAGTGTGGAAGGATTTATGATTAAGACGTAACAGAGACACTTTACAATGATAACCAAGAGTAGAAAAAAATAATATATGAAGGAACTTCAAGGAAGACAGGAGGCAAGCCAATAAATCATCTATTTTCTCCCCCTGTTTCTTATACTTCAGTTTAGTGTAAGACAAAAAACAAATCAACCCTTCTCTTACAAAGTTTGAAAACATTAACGTCTCAAAGACAGGATTGATTGCAGTGCTAGATTGCATTAGATTGTGCAGGTAAACAAACTGGTAAATCAATGTACAATGCACAATCAGATTTGAGACAGTGCATGTGATGCATAAATAGTCGATTTACAGTTGACTAAGCAACACTCTAAAACACAAACGCTGATGGACACAAACACTCACTTTGAGTTGTTTTGTCCCTACTGGTCCTTCCAACCAATCTTTGGACTCGACTTTAACTTACAGTGTTTACAAATGCAGTCTACATTAAAGCCTGTGAGACATCAACTATCATTAGTCACTGACTGTAAAGCTTGTGAGGTATTTAAAGAAATATTGACCATGTAGAACAAAGTCAAAAGTAACACTAGTGTTAAACTTTTAATGAAATGCATTTTTCATAACAAAGGAAGTACCCTCAACAGAAGTTCATAAAAGCATCTTATGTAAAGTGCTTCACACTAACCCATATAAATCTGCTCCTAAATCATTGCTTGTTAAGGATTATCTGCTGCATATACCATATGACCAATTCATTAACATACACTCCTATTTCACTACTGTTGGTTACTTTTACTCCAAAACCTTCACAATCAAACAAATCCAGGCTAATGAAGGCCTGCCTCAAAGGAATAAGGCTGTCCTGGTTTCCTGCAGACCTAAGCTAATTGTTCTTCCTGTAACCCTGTATTTACCTGAGTAAACCTCAACCCAAAGATAGAAAAGAAAAAACAAAGGCTGGAGTGCCAACATGTAGTGCATCTTTGATTCTGTATATCCACATTCTTGTTGACACTTACGTAATGTATTTTATTACATACAAGAGTTAAACAGAAATAGCAGGGGATTTAAGTCATCGGACAAAGCTGCATTTTTGTGTCTAAAGAGATGTCCCCTCTGGATATGTGCCCTATCCCAATGGAAAGCTGGGTGATGTTTTCAACACATTAACATGACAGTCTAATGTCTAATTACTCCCAGCTCTGAAAGTCCATCTGGAAGATCAAACCGTCTCAGCCCAATAACAAACAACTGTGACATTAAGGCTTATGCCACATTGACCTCGACATTAAAAACAGGTGTCATTGTACCTGTAGTCTCTCTTGCATCTATCTAAAGTGTCTTTTAATGTCCCTCTCCCACAGAGGCATCCATCCTGTCCTCTCTTTTGTCTGTGCCCTGCTCCCCAGGAGACCATGAATAATACAGGGCAGAAGAAGGGACAAACGGAGAGGAAGGACAAACACAAAGGTGGCAGAAACTGACCCCGTGAAAGGACTAGAGAAGAGACAGGTAACAGGAACACACCTTAAACACTTCATTCAAAGAGGTGGGGCATTACTGTTAGACCTGCATCACAGCAGTGTTGATTAAAACAGATAGCTAATGATAAATGATTTCATGACCCTGAGTGACAGAAGGGCTCATAATGACTCATTTCTTCCTTATCATAACTCAAACTGGTTATTGTAACTAAAGGTAAAGTGTAGCTATGCGGCTAAAACACATAGTATTAGCTTGGTCGCTATCGTTACGGTCTAAGCACAATATTGTTAGAATGTTGTTTCATTAATCGGTACAAAACGTCCAAGGAGAGCTAATATAACTCCTGACTAGCTAGGTTAGCCATTAGCAACACTAGACAGGACTAACTAGTTAGCGTTAAGGTGAATGCAGGTTGCACTTGCTAGCTAAAGTGAGCTAGCCCAGTGTAGTAAACATCTGGCCGTCACACCGATGAGAAAGCTTATAAACATGTAAATGCAGAGCCTTAACACGCTGCATTACAAAATATAAGGCCCTGAAATTATTAGACCATAACTACTGTGACTAAAACGGTGAAGTAGTACTTACGGCTGTAAGGTTTGTATGAACAGTAAGAGTCCGGGCATCAGACAGTCAGCTGGGGATGTTGTGAAGACTGGAGGTGTTACAGTCACACAGTCAGGGGTCGTTATTGCTATCGCTGTCATCAGGCCTCGACTGTCCGCTGCTGCTGCGAGCTGTCGCCCTCTTCTGTCTGTGCACTGTCATTACATCTAATATGAGGGACAAAAAAATGACTAAAGTATAAATAAATAAGTGTTGGGAGAAATGCATATAATAATGTATAAATAAAATAATTAAATAAATGCATCAATAAATATATAAATGCTGAAAACAAGACATCAATGAATAAATAATAAATACACTTTGTTAATAAAAAAGGCTATTTATATATTTTTACATGTATTTATTCATTTATTATATGAGGGACAAAAAATGACTAAAGTATAAATAACTAAATACATTCATAAATAAATAAATGTTGGGAGAAATGCATACAATAATGTATAAATAAATAAATAATTAAATAAATGCAATAAATACACTTTGTTCATGAAAAAGCTATTTATATATATATATATATTTATTAGCATATTTCTACAGTTATATGTGTATCAATGCATACATTTCCACATTAATTGAGTTATTCATTTATTTCCGTATTTTTACATTTACACATCTATTTATTTCTGTTTCCAGGTCGTAAGAGGAAAAGTATATATGTACATTTGCTTCTGTCTGTTTTTCAAAATTGACCAATCCTACTTCAGTAATGTTAGGACGGCCCACTTAATTTACATATTTACTTTTCCTTGTACAACATGGACACAGAAATACATAAATAAATATGAATATATTTATTTATATATGAATTTTTACATGAATTGATGCATTTATTTGATTATTTATAATTATTGTATGCATTTCTCCCAACATTTATTTATACTTCAGTCATTTTTTGTCCCTCATATCTAAAACCCCTAACTCCAATAATAGTAGTGCAAACTATTTTACCTGAAGTTTCGTGTCCCTTGTGTAAACCTTTTTTGTTAATGAGCTACCAGCATAATCAGTAGTTTACAGTTCTTTAAGGATCAGTGTTAAAGCCACTGCCACAAAGCAGTGGTTTGCAAGCAAGCTCTAATCTAATACGCAGTCTTAAGAGAGTATACAACCACATCTTCTAAAAGGTCTATCCAGTCAATTATTTATTAAGTATCATTTTGAAGGTGTGTTAATGCTTTACATGTTTGACCTTCCTGCCATAAGAGTACTCTGTCCAGAAACTAAAAGAATAACAGACTGTAAAAATCCTAATCATTTACTGAACGAACAATGAAGTCAGGCCAAAACACCCAGTCATCTAGTAACAGTGCTGGTTTGAACGCGTGATAAAACGTATCATTATTTTGATTTAATTGCAATTAAAATTCATATCAGACACAAAACTTACACAGAAAACAGATAAACTAATATAAACAAGTCAAGCTTTATAAAAAAAAATAACAGGCATAAAAATGTCCCGTCTCCTTGCACTGCTGTAGGTTGGAAAAATTGCACAATACATTATACATACAGCATTGTCTTCAGTAAATCTGCTTCCAGATCAATCAATTAGAAAAGACAAAAAATAGAAAAGTATGTGCAACCTTTAATTAATTGGGATATCACTGTAATGGCCATGTACGTCCACAAAGCTTTTTAAGCCCCTCAGGCGTGCTGCAAACATAACATTATGCTCTTAACATAACACATCATAAGAATTTTATCCTGCAACTTTTCTTTCATCCACAAGTTGCAGAAAACCGTCCGACTTTCTCATTGTCTCATGTGCCAACTCAGGGTCATCAATCTCCAGGATAGTAACAAGCAGATGTAATTCCTCCATTTTTTTGTCCGTACAGTAAGACACTTTCATTTTCTTCATTTCAGAATGTTACCAAAGTATCTATGTAGTCATGTGTTTCTGCAATTGTATTCTCTCCAGTGAGTCCTCATTCCATAACAAATATTATAATACAATTGTTATTTATATTATCATTAAATAATGTATTTTTTGTTTTATTTCATTTCCTAAAAAACTATACAAATGACCTTAATGTATTTTATCCCCAGCCTTCCCTCTGTGTGTTCTCCAGAATCTCTTCATAGAGCCAGCTCTGTGTGAACTCCTGACTCTTGTCCATTAGCTGGAACAGTTGACGATACTCCTCTGGATATACATGGCCTGTCAGGATGTCCTCCGGCAGGCCCATCTCTGACAACAGCTTACTACCACTATCTGGTGACCAGAGACTGAAAACAAAGAAAGATAGGTGTGTTAACTTGTACAGTAGGGCTGTGCAGATTCACTGATCTCACAACTTAAATACGATTATCCTGTCAATGATTCAATATCACGATGCATTAAGGTGGCTTGCATCCTTAATTTTCTGTTTTGCTGCACATTGCTTCTTTTTTTTTTTTTTTAAATCAATGAAGACAAGCAGTCAGATAAATATGAACTCCCATTTTTTTCTTATTTAGAAAGTGCTTTAGAAATCAATGTCAGCATAAATAGCTTTACATTATAAACCAAAATAAATAAATTCCATGGGTCCAGCTATGGCTTGAAAATCTACAAGCAGTATGCAATAACTGATTATGTTCTGTCACCGCATCGATGCAGTACAGTCCACATCCAAACACTTTTCATTTCAACCCCTCTGTTGAAGGATCTATAATACTACTACAGTCCTGATACATTTGGTGAATCTTCAATCCTTTAAGTAAGAACGCGTCCTTAATGAATCATTACTTACTTGAGTCTGTCAATGAGCTTGACCTTTCTTTTTGCCAGACATTGTTTGACCATCATGAGCAGGGTTGAAGCATTGGAAGGAGTGAGGCCTGCAGAAAAGAGATCAGCCCGGGGACGCAGACGCACCAGGCACAGGTGGTCGTTGGGAAGCTGAGGTGAAAGAGAAGATGATGACGAGAGTAAAGGTTACCTTTAATAGATGATATAAATAACTTGTACTGTAATGGAGTCCCTCTCTCTCTTACCATGCCCTTAGGGCCCGATACACTCTGTCGTGAAGACGTAACAAATGACTCCCAGGGCTCCTGCACAGACAGAGATTGGGAGGTTGACAGTATGAAGGCTCGGTCTAGCAAATATACCCACATTATTTTCATTTTTATTTTGTGTATGTACCAGGCTTTTGCATCATAAAACACAGTTACATGTTTTTAACTTAAACAGGTTTTCCTGTTATTTCTGCAAGCTGTTTAAATGTCACCATTCTTAGTTGTAACACAATTGCATTATCAGAAATATATCTCTGTCACCCTGCCTCATTCTGTACCTTGTGCAGCAGTTCAATATCACAGGCCATCTGCCAGAGGACAGTGAAGGCTCTGTAGTGCATCATTTCTCCGGGGCGCGCCACCAGTTTCTGAAAAGAGTAGTAATCACATTCTCCATTCAGGGAACATCACCACATCTGAACTGACAGGTTTAACACCAGGTGATACATTGACTGATCTTTAATTCTACAAATAGATATTAAAATGAAATCTTCTTCTCTTACCAGGTACTCCTTCTCACTTATGAAGAGGTTGAGCTCTATTCGTCCGTATCTGTAGACAGATAGCCGTTCAAACAGAGCGTAAACCATCTTCAGGAGCAAGCCACGCTCATTACGCTGGGGCAGCATTCCCACCACCTTCACAGGGACGTCTAAGAAGACACACATCAAGAAGTTACCAAAAACATCTATCAACTTCAAACAGGAAGGTACACTGAACAGTTCAATGTTTATTCAGTTCAGGTGTGTTCAAGTGTGAAGCAACAAAACAACTGTTTCTGTGTCATTGTATTTATTACAAACAGTTATTCACACTTTTTAGATATGAAATTAGCATCATAGCAGTGTATTAATTTGGATGTATTTGTCTTTTTCTTACCATCAGTCCAGCTGGTTTCTGATATACCCAGATCTGTGAATAGTTTGTCGGTGAACATTGCAGGGGTTTAACGTTTCCATTGCCAATAGGGTCTAGTTTAAAGTAGTCACAGTGAACCACTTCCAGCTGACCATCAAGATGACTCTCCAGCTCCTACAACGTGACAGAATTATTCATTATTACAAGAACTACACAAGGGGAGAAGAACCTTTGATATTTGAAGGGGGGTTAGATGGTTTAGGGCTGATAATTGGTTTATCTCGACATAAGGACACAAAAAATTGTTTGATGCTTAGAGATGTTTGAGTTACCTGAAGATCTTGCAAGAAGAACTTATCCCCTTCAAGAGCCACGACTCTCTGAGCCCCAGCATTAAGCAGAGACTTAGTCAACACCCCAGGGCCTAAAAACACAGACACAAAGACCAACATGTTATTGTTGTTTGGCAGGAATAATGCACTGTGAGCAAACATGTTATTATAAATACATATCCAATTGTTTTGCTATTGCTCCCCAGGCAAAACTGTTTTGTTTGCATCGAGTTGCATTTAAGTTAAACACCAAACACCAGACAGGGGAGGTGGACTCACTTTGACTTTGTACAAATACATACCTGGGTTACATTCAAAGATCACAGTGTTCGCATCCTCAGGTTCCAAGTGCTGGGCTACCAGTTTAGCTAGGTCAGGGTCTACGAGGAAACGTCTCATGGTTTTACAGGCTTGAGCACGCTGAACGTTTTCCTCGACCTCACCAAGGTCAAGGAAGTCATATCTGCACAAAGGTCTGCACTGGCCCTGGTGAAAGACGGGAAAATGAACAGAGATTACATACGAACACCAACAAACATTAAAAAAGCTCACAGCATTTGTACAAGATAGTAATCCATTTAGAATGTCTATAATGGTGTCAATTTCCTCCTCACACAAAGTGGTTCAAGATGCCAGGAAAAAAAAAACTTGAGAACACTTATTGGCTTAAAAGTAAAGAAGTTAAAAATGTCAAGTTTTGAGAATTGCAAAAAATTACCAAGCTGAGGAGGAATCCAACAAAGCTTAAAAAAAAAAGAAGTTCCTACCTGTAAAGCTACAGCAGACAGGTTCCTGTGTGTGAAGGCTGAGGAAGGTGATGTCCTCTCTGCAAGAGGCTGTTGGGAGCATGACCCAAGTGAGGGCCGACCAGGACCAGAGGAGAGAGAGTCCAAGCTATAGGCCCGTCTATGAAGCACAGAAGCTCCCAGGACACAACCACCAGAGAGGGGGGACAACACTGCCTTGTGCAAACAGGATCTACTTCTGAGGGTCTGGCAGCAAGCAGAGCGCCTCAGCAGCTCCACTACCCTACACATCTGGTACGACATGGTGAACCAGGGGAGCCCTAAAATAAAGACAAAGAGCAAAGGAGGGAGGGGGGTTATTAAGGGGACCCCTTAAGAGGTCAATGCCTACGAGGAAGGGAGCAAGGACACATGATAGATATTAAAGTGACATTAATCTACACATAAACACGAATTATTATTGTTGGATAACTTGCTTGTGTTGATGCATCGCAGAATATGATGCACGAACTCGCCAAAGCGGCATACCAGAATATTACATGCAATCCGTAACATCACGCGTGTTAGCCGTCTGGCTATCCGTATGCTAACATAACCCACGACTCAAATGTTACATTTATGTCATTTATTCTGCAGAGACACAAACATACCTTGCTGCAGAATATCCTATATATCGAAATGGATTGGCATCGTTGATTTAAATGCGGCTCTTATCTATCGGTTCGGTGGTATAACTCCATGACATTGAGCACCCGCAGGTTGTTTTCGCAACTCTCGTGGTGTCAGGCGCGTGTGAGTGTCGTCATCTTCAGGCGACCACTGAAGGACCAATCAGAGACTCGACGAAGTTGTTAAGCTGACTTGCTAACACTTTAAATATTAATTAAATTTGGTTGAAGACATGCGCTTGTAAAAAAAAATACTAATATTGCTTCAATACATTTTGTATACAAAACTAATTATTAATGACAAATAATCTTAAAAAGTAACCTGTAACCAAATATATGTTAGCATTTTAGCATTTGTTGCTAAGGAAGTAGATAAAAGACGCACTGTCAAAACTGCACGCAGTTGTGTCTCATCGTCGTCAGTCTGTCAGAGAGGTGAAGGTGTGGTTGTAAGCTCTCTACTCTGTTCGTTGTCATCATGGCTCGTGTTGAAACTTCTTCTAGCAGGCCGTACCACCTGGTGATCTTCGGAGCCTCTGGATTCACGGGACAGTTTGTGGTGGAGGAGGTAGCCCGGACCGTGTCCGAGGGTCCCAAAGGGAACCTGAAATGGGCCGTGGCAGGCAGGAGCAGACAGAAACTGGAAAAAGTTCTGGAGCAGGCCGCCGGAGTCCTCAGTATGTATGCATGTTCACACTGAAGCATGTTGTTTAAACATGTTTAAAGCCCTGAAACACACTTCATGTTCCTGTTGAATTGTTTCACTAAAGTGTCGATGCCAAAGGATGTTGTAGTTGTTGAGTTCTGCTTTTAATCTGATTTTCCAGGAATACATCGTCTAGTGAAAAGGATAACTGCTTATAACTGGCTCAGCTAGACAATCCTGCTCACTGACTTTGACCCTAAACGATGACTGAACTCCAAAGTACAAGAGATGTTGCAACCAAGACTTTTAACTGTATTATTGTTTTATTAAACTAATGATGAACTTATGACAATGCTTCATAAGTTCATCATTAGTTTCAATGCTTCAATCAATGTTAAAATCTATACAAAAGTAGATGTTTTTCTTCATTTTCCTATAGCACAATGAGTATGTTCAATTAAAGTATTTATAGAGCAGTTTACAGTATCTAGTAAATATTTGCCTTACTGAAACTGAAACTGAAACTGTGAGTAGAAACTGCTCTTTTGTTACTTTATTTATAAATTGATAAATTGTTAATCAATCAAACTTGTTGTGGTCCAAAATGTGATTATGAGCCTTTTATAATTAATCAATTGAATACTCTGAAGGCAGACATTATTGTTTTGAGTAATGTCTTTTCAATGTATATTTCTATTTAAGGGCAGAAAACAGTCTTTTAACATTAACAGAATTCAGTGGTGGCTTCTTTTTAAAGATGATCTGCCTTCAGATCTGAAAACGAAAACAAATGCAGCTGATTTGAAATGTGTGACAAATTACTGAATACATTTGTTATGCCTGTAGTGTTCCAGATTGATGATTTGGATCATCTACAGTATGTGACACTCTTAAAATGGAAACTGAAGCCCCTCTCTTGATCAAAGCCAGAGAGCTATTCTACTGTCATGATTCTGCTGTGGGTTTATAGAGGATTAGAAAGTTATTCTTTGGTCGCCTTCTATTCGGCTTCCTCTTCAGGGAGTGTACAACAGCTGATGGAACATACCTGCCCACTGGGAAGCCCCCAAGCCATGAGAGCACACACACACACACACACACACACACACACACACACACACACACACACACACACACACACACACACACACACACACACACACACACACACACACACACACAGACTGTTAAATTAAACATCTGGGAACAAATTGCAATATGCCTGCAGGATTTTTTTTACTATATTTTGTTGTGGAATATTTTAGTTGCCTCTTCATTTACAGTTTCACTCACTTTTCAAACAGGTATACAGAGAAACATTGGTCTTTTTAATGGTGTCAATCAGAGAAGAGTTTTGAAAAAGATCAGGATATCATAGCACATAACTTTGTGTGTGTGTGTGTCTGTGCAGGTAAACCAGAACTGAGGGCAGAGGTGGACGTCATTGTGGCAGATGTAGGAGAACCAGACTCTCTGGCTGCCATGTGCAAACAGGCTGTGATTGTTCTCAACTGTGTGGGGCCTGTAAGTAGACTGCAGGTGTATGTGTGTAACAGAAAAACTGAACTTGCTCTGTCATGACACAAAACCGTTTTCTCTCACATAATCTCATCGTACTTTTGCATCAGTGTAACTTAACTTATCTCCATCTCTCTGCCTGCCTTCATCCATCTTTTCCTTCTCTCTCTCTCTCTCTCACACACACACAGAGCAGCTTGTTCTTACACAATGAAGGCTACTGACTCGCACACAATAACTCTAATTGTGTTCAAGTCTGAATGAAAAGTAAATTCCCATCACTGCTTTGCGTCCCGTGCATCACTCAGGTTCTTGTTGCAAGCCAAATTCTTCCTTAGCTGTGAGCACAACTTTAAACACAAACCACACGCTGCCAGCTTATCTTTCACTGAGACAGGCAGTTCAAGCCAAAAGTAGACGGACCATTAGGAGCATAAAATGTAAAAGAGTTAGCATAGCCAGGGTTAGAGAGACTAAATAACATCCCATAAACCACAGGCTTAAAAACGTCTTTTGAATTGTTGAATGGTATAAATGTCTAAATCAAAATAAGAATACAAGACAGATGTACTCCAACATCAGAAGAATAACAAGAATCTTATGATATAATGTTAACATGTAACTCACATGACGGCATGATGAACACGTTTAACAGGATTTGCTCAGAGACGTGATCCCTGAAAATAAGTATTTGTTTCAACTTTCTCCTCAGCAAAATGAGGACAAACTGAAAAAAGCTGAAATTTGTATGTGTTTCTCCGTGTGCACAGTACAGGTTCTACGGTGAGCCAGTGGTCAAAGCCTGTGTGGAGAATGGAGCCCACCATATTGACATCTGTGGAGAGCCTCAGGTATGTACAAAGCATCATGTTTTTATAGAAGTTTGTGCTACAATGTGTAGTTCAATCATAACCTCCATAAGGGTAGTGCTTTTTATTCTTTACTCTTCCCTTTTTCAAAATCTTAAAGCTAGCACAACAGATGTTTGATTCAGAATTGTATACTAACGTTGCCCTTTTTTTTTACCAATACCAGTGTTTGCGCCATAAACTTACAGTTGCTTTTTAACTTTAAGAATGTAATAGTCAACATGTATTTACCATTAATGAAGCAGATTCAGGTAGATGGTCTCTTGATGATATTCAATTGGCTTATTTTTTTAAATTTCTAAGCAGCAATTTAAACCTTCCCTCTGCACCCGCATGATGTCAGTGGACATTTTAGCGTAAATTGTGTGGATGTTCTTCTGCAGATTTCCCAACATTCAGCTTGGCTGTTGGTTGTGTTTGGATTTGATACCATATGTGTTGTGTGTCATTTTGTGGGTTCTTTTTAGATCAAGTTATTTCCCACATGGCCTCATGATAATAGCTTTCATCAGTCGTAGTTGAGATGGTCTGTGTAATGCAGCATGTCTGTGACTAACTTCATGTTTATGTGTGTTTGAGGCTTTTTCTTGGTTCTAACAATGAGCCTCACAACGTTCATCACATCAAAAGGAAATTCAAAAAGAAGCCTCTGTTCTGCACATCGATTTAGTTTGGAGATTATCTTCATGCTCGTTTGTGATTTCTGTTGAAAAAATGTGTTGAATTGAAAACATCATACAATACGTAATAACCAGAAGAACAAAACATTATAAAGATTTTGTATGATGTTTTTTTTGTGTTTCTTTCTGGCTGTGTGCAGTTTCTGGAGGGGATGCAGTTGAACTACAACGACCAAGCAGCTGAAAAGGGTGTCTACATCATCGGGAGCTCTGGATTCGACTCCATTCCTGCAGACATGGGAGTCATCTTCACCAGGGATCAGTTCAGGGGTAAGAATTAAATAATTAAAGCTCTTCTGACGATGATATGGTGTGATCCACTCAATCTGGTTTTGTTCCTGTTTTCCTGTTTATGATTTATTCATTTTAATATTTGTGTGTGTGCGTGTTCATCTGCAGGTACTCTGACTGCAGTGGAGAGCTTTCTAACTGTTGGCTCAGGACCAGAAGTATGTAACTACATTACCAATAATTCCATGTTGTACACCGGTTTTTCGATGATTATTCATCATGTTTTTCCCTTATCTCTAATGCTGCTCGATTTTTCTCTGCCAGGGCGGATGTATCCATGACGGCACGTGGCAGTCAGCCATCTACGGGTTTGCCGATGGTCCGAAGCTCCAGAGTCTCAGGAGGAAGTTCAACCACAAACCTCTCCCTATTGTCGGCTCCAAGATGAAACGCAGGTACATAGAGTAGTAGTGTTTTTATGCCTTTTTCAAGAGACATCAAGTCCTCTATCTTCCCTGAGGTTTTTCTGATTTGATTTGATTGATTTGATTTCTTTATTCCTAACACGTAACATAAGACAGAGGTGGACAGAAAAAAACAGACATACATTTAAAAAAATAATAATTACAAACAGTGAAAAGTATAATTTTAAAAATTTGGACGCTATGCTATTTTAAGTTACATCTTAGGTAGCACTTAGATGGCCAGTTTGTTAAACCCAGTAAATTAATATTTAGTGCAGATGAGTGGGTGAATTCTCATGTCCAAAAGGTTCTTTGCATCCTCTGTCACTCCAAAAAAAATTCATGAGGTCAAAGAAACTGCGGTTATATTGCATGCCCCATGTACTGTACAGAGGCTGTAGTCCTCGTCACAGCCACCGTGGGATGGAATTAGACTTTGGCCCTTTGCTGCATATCAACCGCCACTCTCTCCTCCTGAAAGATTATAACCAAAAAAAACACCAACCTGTCTCTTTGCATACTACGTGTCACAATTAGCATTACACTAAAATGAACTGTGGCCTAAAGGTCAACGAAACATTAAACAGGTTGTTAACATTCAGTGAATGCAGGGTAATCTAAGCATTTGTATAAAACACCTGTTGGAGACAATATGTCATCGCTGGAGAACATTTGTCTCTATTGTTCCTGTGTTAGTGTGTGGGGCAGTTTGAAGACTGGAAAGTAGTGGTCACAATAGAAGTCAGAATAGTAACTTCGGGGGTTATACAGTGTATATATATATGAACTATGCTAACTAAGACTGATACAGCCTTATAAAAAGTTCAATTGGTCTTAAGAACATGTTTAAGCACAGGACGAGGACTGTTACTTACGCCTCTTATTAAGAACGGATGGTCATTATAAGATGAGATAGCTCTTATAATGACAAAAAACATTGTCATTAAAGTATTTCATTGTGTTTTTAGCATTTTGACAAATTGAAGCAATATCTCATTAATACAATACATGGCATCGAGAATCCCATATGTTGCAAATGCAAGAATTAATTTGGTCATTAAGCAGTGAAGGCTGGTGAGTTAACGGACCAGTACAGACATCGTTATGAGAGTTTGAATGATCTGCTAACAATTAAACAGCCAATATTCATATTTCTGTTGACATAAATAGCATACAGGAATATATATGTTGATGTATTATAATGTCTTCAATCGAGTCAAATCAAATTCCTAGATATACCATAGACTGTTTGTATACACTGAGGAGGACTTTGGACAAATGAAAGCAAATGTTGTAGTGCTCTCTGGTGGACAAGTCATGTCGTGTTTATAAATGACCTCTACATATCGACATGATTTTAGAATTACAATTTCTTGTTGGTCATCAGCAGCATATACACATACAGTATGTGATGAGGTATTAAGAGACAATAATCAAGCTCTGCTGAATTCTCTGCTTGTTTTCTCAGCTTGTATTTCTGTGTGTGTGTTTGTTTGTAGGGGCACGCTGTTCTTCAGTAACGAGATCCAGCAGTACACTGTGCCCTTCATGGGCTCTGATCCGTCTGTTGTGAAGAGAACTCAGCGCTTCCTGGTGGAGGAGCATCAGGCCACTCCGGTTAGACTTCACTTGATAGTTTTCTTGAGTTTTCTTCCTATCATTTCTTCTTAATTTCAACCTTTTTTTTTTCATCTGTGCTTGTAAATAGGCACATTTACTATTATTTTTTTGTAGAGTTTTCCTGTACAAAAGCATCATGAAGACCAAAAGTGTTTCTATTTTCACTCACACATTCACATTTGACCAATAATAATTGGGAAATGGCAGATTTTTGATTAATTTTGATGAAATCATTTGGATTTTACTGATTTATTGATGAAAAAGTCTGACATGTAGAAAACAAAATCATTCCGAACAATCCCATTGTCTCTTTTTACTGTTTAGGCTTTATGAGTTACAGTCCTTTCTGTGTGCAGGAACACTTTCTCTTCACTCTTATGTGAACACAGCATGAGCCGATCACTCCCCCTGCTCTGTTTGTGAAATCATCTGTGTTTGTAAACTTCAGGTTCAGTATGGAGCTTATGCAGGAATAGGAGGTATTGGGAACATTTTCAAACTGATGTTTGCTGGCATGATGTTCTGGTTCTTGGTCAAGTTCAGTTTTGGACGCAACCTGCTCATCAAGGTAAACAAAAATGTCATAGAAACAATTTGTATACACTTTATTGAAACAAGTCAGTACTGTGTGTGGAGAGGTATTTTTGTAGTCATTGCTCTCTGTTTTTTTTGTGCCCAACTTTTTCAGCACCCGGAGTTCTTCTCCTTCGGACTCTTCTCAAAGGCTGGACCAAGCAGGAAGCAGGTAAAGTGCTGACATTTTTTAAACTCTGTAAATTCTATCCTGTTGTTCAATTCACAAACAAAAACATTTAGGTCAGGAAGAAAAGTATGCTTAGACGGAGAAGTTCTGTTTTCTGAAAAATAGTGTCCATGCATGTTTCAGATGGAGGCTTCATCATTCAGGTTTGCCCTGTATGGAGAGGGCTACACAGAAGGACAGGACCCCTCCCTGGGGAGACCTGACAGCAAGATCCGCACATTGGTTCAGGGACCAGGTAATCTGAAATGAAATACCAGACTCTACTACCAGATTATTTTCTTGATATATGAAATATGATGTGTGTCATTACCCAAGGAGACCACACTAGGGTGAAAGCATGCCAGCATTTATCTCTGTCCTGATTTGTTTGTTGTCTCTGACGCACTCCATCTTTTGTTTGTTTGTAAATGTATGCATGGTCTGGCTGGACTGTGAAACAGAATTGCCCTCTGGGATCAATCAAGTTTTCTAAAACTTAAAATAGAAAACCATATTTTGGTTTTCCCTAATTTAACAGTTTAGCCTGTTTTTATTTAATGTTGCTACTAATGTGGCTTCATAAAAACATCTACCATGCTGCCTGTGCTAAATGGTCGCTTCTTTCTCTTCTCTCACGGTTTGGTAATGTTACTGTGTCTGCTCTGTCCAACACAAACAATGGTTCTCATGGTTGATCAATCTTTCTCTGTTGTTATTTAGAGTGCGGATATGTGGCCACACCCATTGCCATGGTACAAGCTGCTCTTACAATCCTGAATGAACCAACAGCCCTGCCCAAGACGTAAGTAAAAAACAAAAAACGAGCTAAATGGCTGATTTCATATTTTCAAAAAAATCTAACTGCAGTTCTTTTTGGTGCTCTATTTATATAAATGACTCAAAGGTACTGTGAAATAATATAACATCTCAATTTCCAGGGGCGGAGTATACACTCCAGGAGCTGCTTTTGCCAAAACCACACTGATCGACCGTCTGAACAAACATGGCATCCAGTTTTCTGTCGTCTAGAGTTTGTCTCCTCCCTGATGCATTACTACAGGTTTCTCTCAGTACTAAGTAACAACTGGAAAGTTTCCATCTGAAAAAAAAGAGCTATTTCATTTTCATTTTTTGTTAAATTGGTTGATTTGGCATTCTCCTTTTTTCATTTGGACACAAACTTGTCAGGATTCCTTTGGCTTGAATGTACTGTTAATATTCTGCATGTAAGATACGAATAGCACAACCAGTTAAGAACTGTGGGTGAAAAAAACGCAGAAACCTTCCACTAACATGATCTCTGCTAATAGAAGATGCATTTTGGCCATGATTTGGTTCACTGCTTTACTTCAACATTGAAGTTTGTCAAGTTACATTGTACCTCATATAAATAAATCATTGGATAAAAAACAGTTCCTTAATATTCTGATAAAGTGGTAATCAAAGAGGCAGCACATAGATGTCCCTCTCTAGTCAATACAACATCTGTAAGTGTCATGTTGTAAACAGAATAAAAAGTTCTCCTCTGCCACTTTATTCATTCAATAAATCATCTGGGTAGAAATAGACTCTTCATTATGTGCCACACCTTCATAATAACATTTAGCTTTACAGAGAGGATATGGTTGGATCTGATTTACAATCGTTTGATTTATGATGAACGGCACAGTAGGCTGATAGCTTCACAGTTTAATATTATGCTGGAAGAATAAAAAGCATGTAAGGAGAAAGTAGAAAACCAAGCTGCTGTAAGTGTTTAAGAAATGTAAACCATCTTAAAGTGTTATCCTTGTAACATACAGTAACTTTATATTCACCAGACATAACTCATTGAGACGCACTAACATTGTAGCAGCAAGTTTGTCCTTCAGGTTCAGTGAAGTGAAGCTGTCAACAGGATAGAAACCTGCTCTGTGTGTGTGTGTGTGTGTGTGTGTGTGTGTGTGTGTGTCTGTGTGCATGTTAGCCTGTCTCAGCCTGTTAAGCTGAAAATCCTGACTGCTTTGTTTCATGACAGTTTGTAGTCAGACTATCACTAAAACATACTTTCAATGTATTTTTCTTGTAGCTGAATTTGACAGAATTCTTTGATATCCAGTAGTTTCTTTGAGTTCTGGCAGAATAGGCACAAAGTAGTTTTTTGCTCAAACAGCGTGATGTGCATGATGCTGAATTGATCCTCTCTGCTTCTTTTTTTTTTTAATAACTGATTTAAAAAAAAAAATCTGAAGTCATGTTTTTGTCGACTGGAGTGGTTTTCTTCATGTTATCGATCTCAGTTTGGACTTTTTTTTGCATCATGTGCACGTAAGCAGTTGCATTATGGTTTTGTTTTGGTGTGCTTTGCTTTGGACCTAATAAAAGAAACCAACTCGGCCAATGGAGACAATTCTTGTGTCTTTCTTGTACAGCTTTATAAAAAATACATGCAATGTGTATCAAATAAAAAAAAATCTGTGGATGAAATTTATTAAAAGACATTTGAAAAAATTCACCAGTTAGTTGCATCCCTCCTACAATTAAGAGTAAGTTATGGAACTCAAAAGTTGAGTTTGTGAGCCCTTACAGTCATGTTATATCAGTATTGGACTCAATGAGCCCTTGCATCAAAGATTCTTAGGGTATATCCCTTTGTGCTCTAAAGCTTGAGTCTCTAAAAAGCTGAGTCATTTTGTGCAGCAGTGCTTTTTCAAGCTGTATTACACCATGATATCTACAAGAACTCTGATATCCAACGGTAAAGGTTAAGGTGTCATTCATAAATCACGACTTTCCATCTGTGTCTTTTCGCCTATAAGAAAACCCTCAAATACATGGCAAAAAATGCCTTTGAAATCTACAAAATTATTGTAGCAATAAATTCCAATACACAGAACACCATGGTAAAAGTACTTTAAATCATTTAATCAAAGCCTTGTCTTCACTGACTTCTTGTTTAAGAAGTATAAAATGATAAGGGGATAGTTACATAATGACAAGTAGGCTAAGCCACGAATGCTGTAATAATTCAAGATGATTTAAGCGTGTGTTCATGCCTATTGCAAAATTTTCCATTTACACACAACTTTCAAATCATCATTCAAATCAGGATATTTGAATGCTAAACATTTGTTTAGCTGATGGTGCAATATGTGTTCAATAAGAAAGGAGAGAACAGACGGGCTTCCAGTTGCTTAGAACATTTATTGTGCATATTCTACAACAAGCTGAGGGGGGAAATGGAAACGATCCAGATGAACAGCTCCTCTTTCAACAGCTCTGACTTCACACGATGTACGATTAGACAGTCGGATGGAGACGAAGTCACTCTTTCTTTTGTCTCCATCTTCCTGCTCAGTAACTTAGTGGTGGGCCTTCCAGCAAATGCATGGGTGGTATGGCTCATTGGTAATGGAAAGAGAGATGTGTTGGCTTTGGACATCCATTTTCTGAGCCTGGCTGTATGAGAGATTCTTTACTGTTTGGGACTTCCAGCTCAACTGTACTGTTTTTACAGCATTGAACCCGTCACTGCAGGTTTCCATTACCTGTTGATGCAACAATGGTTTCTGGTGTGGATTGGCAGGCCATTGTTCCAGAGCTGTATCTGTGTGGACCGTTACATTGCGGTGGTACATCCATTGATCTTCCTCAGGTGAATGTTTGAAGTAACATTACTCAGCCTTTCAGTCTGACCTTGGACAATAATTCCTATTTCCTGATCAACTCTCTGCTGTGTTTCCATTTTCAGGTTAAAGCCCCTGAAGTCCCGGGTGGCACAGTGTGCTCTGGCCTGGGGTACCTTCATATTATCCATGGCGCTTATGCCAAGAGTAAACCACAGTCTCCTTATGTGGTTTGTTTTCACATTATGTCTACTTTTGTTCTGTACTCTGTCTGTACTCTTTTCTCTGAAACGACACGGTCCAGGAGAGAGGGAGGAGAGGAGAGGAGGTGACCAGATGAAGAGAAGAGCCTTCAACATTATTTTGGTTCATCTTGCATGTGCTATAGTGAACTATGCGCCAGTTTTGATATTACAATTTTCGAAAAGAGAAGTGATTTCAGCTATTGTGTTCGATCTCATTTTATGTCTGGGAGTGGTCAGTGGGCTAGTCCAACCCTTACTATACCTGAGCAGGAACAGAAAGTTGACCTGTTACAAAAAAGCTCCGACCTAAGTGTTAGCTATGCAGGAAAAACATTTAAACTTATTACAGATAAACACTAAAGCCACAATCCTCTCTATGAAATGTTAAAAAAACACACCCTGTTGGACTTCACGTCATTCTGATTTTGAAAATACCAGTGCAAGTCCCAGTGCAGGAAGCTTGAAATGTTTTCCTTGCTGCTGTTATGCATGCAGTTTGTGTTTTTGCAGAGCAAGACCCACACACACGTTCCCCTCCTTATATTGGTCAAATGATTTTGGTGTCTTCTGTTACTGTAAGTATAAAAGATGGTCCAAGAGTTATTGCATAACAAAATTGCAAAGAGCCATTTATGTAAAATGTGTTTACACAATTTAATCCTAAAGCGGAGTCAAAGTCTTTTTCCTGCTAAGATTATGGACTTGATAAAGTGTCTGCACCCTGCTGCGCTCAGTGTGTTGAGTGACTTTACTGTGCTATAAACATGTATTTGTTCTATTTTCTAATCTACTTCTAATGTTATTGTCGCTACAATTATCTAAATTCCCCTCGAGGATTAATTGTGTACTTGTAGACCTATAGTATGTAATATGATATACATTCAGATTAACATAACCTATCAGACTTCTTCTATCCACATAGTGATATCAGTGATGTTCTGACATGTGCTGTTAATAAGACCACCTTTGTATGACTCAAACAATTTCATAGAGCATTTTTCTTTTCCATTAGTTGCTACCGAGAGCCGACCTTTGTTTCCATGGTGTCAACTTGTAGAAGGTTTTGATTTTTATGTAAATGAGGTACTAGTCTTTGTTTAAACTTGAATATAGCCGTAGAAACTGAGTAAGAATTCTGCATATATAGACAAAATTCAGATATTTATTAATAGAAAATACTGTTATCTCCTGTACATAAAAAACTGCAATTTGTTCACAAATAAAAAACTCTCTCCAGATGCACATGTCCGGTTGTTACAAAGCATGGTGTTTTCTGTACCACCTTCCTTCCTTTGTCTCCTGATCATACAGCCTCTTGGTTGAGCAGCTGGTGAGAGTAGATCAGATCTTCATATGGTATTTTTCTGCTATAGCCATGATGGAGTCATTGCATCTGATTATACTCAGAACCTGCAGCACTTTCAGCACAGCAGACCTACAGAAGAGAGGAGCATACAAGTGTGCATGAAGACAAATATAGTTATTGTTGTAATTAAAGAATGAAGATAATTAAGGATATCTGAAGATTTCATACTGGTTACTTGTTCTGTTCATTCTCTAACTTTAACTAAATACCAACTATTAGGTTCATAGAAATACAGAACTGAGGAACTCAAAACTCTTGAATTGTTAAGTATAAGTGAATTATTTTTTAGATTGTATAAAGCAATTGGAATATGAATCCAGAACTACATTTCTTGCTGCAAATTTTTCAACTGTTCAAGCAAAGCTCCTCCTAATGAGATGTGATTTTTGCTGGTTAACAATCAGCCTCAAAACTCTCTATGGGACTGCCCTGATAGTTATCAAGTCAATACAAACACACAACCCTTTTAATTAACTAGAAGTTCTCAAAGTTTGCTGAAAGCTGGACATGATGACAATATATATCAAGGGTCACATATTATTCTCCTTTTCAACCAGTTTAAATAAGTCTCAGAACTCCCCAAAACATGTCTGTGAAGTTTCTTGCTAAAACTCTACTCTGATCCTGTGTTGAAGCATTTCTATAAACCCCTCTATTTCTGCCCTGTTCAGAACAGGCCGTTTCTGTGTCTGTAGCTTTAAATGCTGTTGACCTGTGTTCGACCGCACCCCTCTCTGGAAGGGGATGTGCCTTGGCTTTCTTGCTCCATGCCCAATTGATAATGGTGAGAGGGCAGACTCCAAGAGCAGAAAAAACACCTAACTGTGGGAGAGTCACCCTCCTGGGGGAGGGGTTACTGCCCTTTGTGATGTCATGGAGGGAAAATCTCAAAATGGCCCTTTTGAGCACGCATTTTCTGACAGGCTAGCGACACCTATTAGTGTTAGAAAAACACGATAAAGTATATTTTTCATAATATGTGCCCTTTAATACAAACCTTTTCTTTCCATTTTAGTCTCACTTATTTGACCCTCCACCCATGCCAAAGTTATAATCTTCCTAATATATATAAGTATGTGTTGTTCTTTTCACCTCATGCTCTGATCTTCAGGAGGCTGCCGTTTGCACATGGTATGGACTTTCTGAACTAAGTGGTTTTTGAAATTCTCAAGCTGAGGTAAACAAACATCCCGTCCTTTGTGCCAATACAGCGGCAGGCTGTCTGCAATCTGAAGACAGAGGAAGAGAGATATAGAATGAGGTTAAGCAAGAGAATATGAGGGAGGGACAGCAAACAACCAGACTGAAGTTAAAATCATGGGCACAGACACCATAAATACACACATTACACAGTAAAGGGTTGAAACATTTACACACCATTCTGCATGCATGAACAGCATTGTTGTCTAGTGTCTGACTGCTCAGTGTGATCATCAGGTATCTGCTCAGAAGTTTGTCCAACATCAGCTCCTTCAACACAGACTCAGGAAGCAGCCGGTCCCATTTCCCCATGTTACCTAGAAGCTAATAGAAACACAGAACAACTCAGATTACAAACAGCAGACAGATAAAAATGTAACCCCCCCCCCATTTAAAAGACTGAAAAAGGCATATATTGTGTTCTTTATGCTGCATTTAGTTAGAGAATAATACTTTAATGGCCGTCCAGAACTGTTGATCCCTGAAGTGACGCTGAGGAGACGAGCGATCTTCTAAGAGCCTGGACAGAAAAACAAACGACAGAAAGGAAATACTGAAATGACCATAGAAAGTAAAAACCAGAACAGTGTTGAATACATGTTAAGCTTAAAGAATGACTATTTTATTTCAAGATTAAGCAAAAACATATGACATAGTTCACTCTATACTTTATATATACCAGCCAGGCAATGATAAGCAGAAGATATGAGAGCACAAGGTAGTTATGAACAACAATGACACAGAAGTTTTTTGTCAGTTTTAATTGTTCATATATACAACCATGTTGCAACTGAGAGAGGCAAGAACACAAACTGACTTTTTAGGGTAAAGAGGGATGAAGACATCTTCATCTACACAGCTTCTCAAGCGACGGACCACAGCCTCAATAAATGCCTGCACAGGACATAAATATACATCATTAGGACAGATATGCAGTGTATTTTATATTAAATCAATGTATGTATAAGCTACATCTATGACCCTTAAATGATTGTACAGCTGGGGCTTATTGCTTGTGTTTAACTTGTTTAAATAGTATGAATAAAAGCATAGTAGGATGAGTTGACCTCACCTTCACAGGTTTTGTCTGCTCCCCTTCAAAGATGGAAAAGTCCTCCTTCAGTCTGAGACAAAATTCAGACAGGCAGGCTGACTGATGGCTCGACATGGGATCCCACACCAGCTCCACCAATGCTGAGCAAAGACAGAGCAGAGAGGACTGTGATTTTTCTGTAGTTTGAACACATGTGGGCAACACAAACTGTTACAGACTGTGTGGAGGGGCTGATAAGCCCAGAAGACCTGGATGCTAACAAGCTGTACAGCCTTGTTGTTAAGATGTATGAATACAATCAGAAAAGAGAAGTGTCTGGACTGGATTACATAGTTGTCCTATAGAGAATGCATGACATGAATATATAATTGTATTGGGTTTTTTTTTCTCCTTTTATGAACCTTCAGTCAGCCTCTACCAATCACTATATGCTGCTCCTCTTGGATTGTGTGTGTGGTACCTGTTATTTTGGGTAGGACTGTCTTTTCTATGATATTGGACAGTGTTTGTCTGTCTGTGTGCTCCAGCTCTTCATGACCGTGACCATGACAAAAGGTCTCCACTGCTGTGAACCATGGGAGGTCTTCAAAGTCCACACTGTCATTCTGAAACAAACACACACATTTACATTTGACCCATATATATACAAGTTGCATTAGACACATTTTCTGTCTGTATATATGTGCGTTTTCCCATGTTGGTGCCTGCTAATACCATAAGTGGGTTGAAAGCCAGCAGCTGATGTCTTATGATTGGGTTCAGCAGCTTGGGCAGACAGAGAGAGATGTAGGCACTGTGGTAAGAGTCAGAGTAACATCCTCTCCATTCTTCAAAGCGGGACAGAATCTTCTTCACATCACTAAACTCTTCCTGGACGTCAGAAAACACTGCCTGGGACTTCGACATGATGTCAGCTGGAGAGGGAGCAGAGAAGGATGGAGAGAGAGTCAGACAAAAATATTTTATAAAGTCATACAGCAAAAGGAAAACTATGCCAACTCACCTTTCTTCTTCTGTATCTGCTCCTCCTCTTCAGCTGAAGGCTTTGTGTCTTCAGGGATATTTGAATATTCTTCATCTTGAATATCAGGGTCTTCCTTGCTGCAACGTGACAGATTATAATAATAATTCATTTGTATTTTATGTGAAGGGCTTTCTTTAATTCATTCTGCTAAAAAATATTATGAAAGCATCAAAGTTCTGCATAGAGTACATTTTGATATCCAAAACATAGAAGTTATTAATTGATAAATTCATGATTTTATTGAACTCACCTTTGAGTTTGTGTCCCACTGGTGGGGCCATCACTCAGCTCATCTTTGTTAACTAAAAAAAGTGGGGTTAAAAAATGTGTTAATATAAATACTCCACATAGAAACTTCTTTGAAACATATTGTATGGATACATCACAAATACACATACACATAGACACACAGGTGTTACTCACAGCTGAGCTGCTGTAGACGGTCAGCCTGCTCCTTGATCCTCTGTCGTCTCTGTGCTGACAGTGCCTCCATCTGGTCAGACAGCAGAACGTGCAGCTCCAGTTCCAGTGAGTTGATCTCTACAACCTGTCAACAGCCAGCAAACAATCCTCATACTGTATACCTTCAGAGCAGGCAGTGTTTATGCAGCCTTAGGTTACTTTTATATTTGTGCCCAGCAGCAGATCAGAGCCAAACGATTTTGTGGAAGCTGTGGATGTTTAAAGATCATTTTCATCATGACAGAGATTATGACTTTAAAAGGTAGAAACGCCATGATTACAGCAGAAAAAAAACCTGATAAGAATATGACAATCAGTGCATCAAATTTGGCGACTAAAACCAGAACCCTGTCTGCTAACTCTAAAATCTAACTCCACTGTTGAGCCCAGTAAACCACTGAACCTCTAGATACATTATCATCCTCTTGTAAAGGTCACAGTCGGGATTATGTTAACCTTGGCAAAAATTTGACATATTTGCTTTTAAAGTGATGACGAATTAGGAACATTAATTGAAGAGAATAACTAATTTCTGACCTTCTCTCGTAAACACTCCACCAAGTTGTGGGCGTAGAGGTTCATGGTTCTGTAAAACTTCAGCTGGCTCTCAGAGGAACTTTCCTCCAGAGTCTCCACAGAGGTTTTAGCACCGTCAACATCCCCCTCCATCCTCCTCAGCTGGGCCTGCCGTGCTCTGTGCACCTCCTTTAGGGAGTCTAGTCTAATGAGACGAGCAGAGGAATACAAAGATGTTCTGCTTGACAAATGTACTCTGAAATATCACAATTATGTTCATTGATGGTGTGGTGCAACATTCATTTAAATACAGCTCGAGGAAACATACGTTCCAGTGATCCTCTTCTTGATCATTGAGACACTAATGGAAGGGAGAGTCTTTGGGACCCCCATTGGTCTCTTCTTCCTGTTTCGTCTGCCTCGCCTGCTGATACTGCTGCTGCTGTAGCAGCTGGATTCACTGCCAGATGGACTCTGAGGAGAGCAAAAACAAAGGTTGAAAGGTGTCATAACCCAGTAATTAGGGGAGTATATACCAGTATATAGGACTAATATTTCCAAAAAAGGATACCATTCACCCAGATGAGAAACAGAAAAAAATATTTGAAAAAAATAATTAGTTGAAGAAGAAAATGGGGAAAATTACAAGACTGCTCAGCCAGTCTTTCCATACCTGTTCTCCTGGCCGTCTCTTGACTCCCTTTCCAATTTGTGTCTCCTCCCAAAGTTCCTGCTCCTCGCCATCGGTCCCAGAGAAACTACAATCACTACCTCCTAGATCACACACAAACAAGATGGAACATTTCACTAAGTGCAAGAAAGAAGTGAAAGTATGCTTTGTGATACTGTATCAATTGTAAAGAAACAACTATCATGTTTAAATTAATAATTTACCAGCAAACATGTTTATTATTTTACTGATTTGGGCAGATGTTTATTGGTTTACTTTGAAAACTTTGCTGGGATGTTGGAAGTTGCAGGGACTGATGATAACAAATGAAGATCCCTTCCCTTCTGATTAAATAAAAAGCAGATTTTTCGCTCAGATTCTTTACACAAGGGGTTATGCTATGCTCCTTATAATATGAGCATTCTTGAAATCACATTTTAAAATTTGCAATGTACTTCCTAATGTATCACAATATATTGATTCACACTCATACTATCCATAGCATCACCAGATCATTGCCTGACAGCAGCCCTGCATGACACATTCCTATAAGTTGATGCTAAACACGCAGTCAGACTAAACTAAATCTACACTATGTTATCCACTTTTCTTTTCTTTCCTCTCTGTGAGAATCTTTCTCTCTAATTATTCTCTGATCATTTTCTCTTTCCCTCCTTTTCTTCTGGATTTCGAGCATTCTTCACCTTTTCCCTCTTCACCTCGTCTTCACTCTTACCGAGTTTCTCAGTAATCCTCTCTCTGATGCTCTTCAAACGTGGGGCAAACTCAATTCTTCTCTCGTGATCATCTGGCTCATCATCATCATTGCCGCGGCCATCTTCATCCTCATCTTCCCTGCTGTAGTGATCGGGGGTGCTACCAGCGGAGCTCTGGCCATCTCTTCCCAGTCGAATGAAATCTTTCTGGGCTCGTTTAGCGTGACGCTGTTTCCTGGCTGCCTCGATCTGTTTAGCACTTGGAAAGACTACTGTGAAGACAAATTGAAAGATGCAAAAATTACAATTAAACAGCAAACATGCACTGCGGATAAATGATTTGCCCTTTTTTATCTGGTATTTTTGTCTGTTGCAGTCCTGAACTAATCCAGTCTAAATTCCTATCATTTCTTTAAGACCTATTTAAATGTCTGGATGGCATAACTGCCTGTCTATCTACATGCACTCTGTTGTCCACTTCCTGTGTATAAACAGGTAGGTAGTTACACATGAATGGTAGAAAAAGCTAGTGTAATATGCTGCTTGGCTCTCCTTAGAGATTAAAGCATCAAAGTTCTGTATCGAGTACATTTACATTAAAAATCTAAATTAAACAAACAACGAGGAATACACAAACCTGGAGTAGTAGTAGAGCGGCTGGAGTCTGAGGCTGAGCTTGCTAAGGAAGACATGGAACTGACTCCATCACTATCCCTGTCGTTATCGTTGCCTTCTTCTTCATCATCATCATCATCATCATCATCATAAGGCTGCGGAGAACATGGTGAAGCCACAGAATCACTGTCTGAATCAAGCCTGGGGGAAGCAGATAGTGGAACATGTCCACTGGCTGGAGCTGAGAGTACACAGAAAACACAAAGAATGTAAGTATGATGACATTTGCCAACATTATGAAGTCCTGATTTAGAGAACAGAAACAAGATGAAAATCCTTAAAAGTCATGGACAAACATTTTCAACAGGCAAGACTAATGTCAATAAACAAAAATACATCGGTTTAAAAACAAAAATGCATCTGACTGGACTGAATCTGGTCTTTGCTGGCACAATAACCCTTCTCCATAATTCCCCAACAAAAATATATAAACAATGTCTAAATCCACATTTAGACACACAACCAGCTGCCAGTTTAAAAGTTAGACTGAATGGTGTTCATAAGTCACTCTGTATTTGTGTAAACATACTGGGACATTATTCCAAGATCTCTTTTTATCACATCTAAAAATCACAACACCACAAGTACAGCCTGAAAGATGACTTGTATTTACATTTATATTATGCAATGTATTCCTGTCAGGTCACCTACCAGATCGCTGGGTGTGTTTGGCAGGTGAAGCCTCCTTCTTCTTCGCTTGGAACAGCACAGCTTTGTCAGAGGTCTTCTTCACTTTAAACGTTGGTTCCTCAGCTTAAGCAAACACATAAGCGGACACAAACATACCATGTCATACCATAACCAAACAGGAAACTCTGTGCAGTGATCATTTCCCACATACAGCAGTATAATATGTCATTTTCATTGTACCCCGGTGCTTAAATGAGGTTTCTCTGAGTCAGGGAAGTAGGAATATGCACCTTGTTATAACAGCATAGACTTCTTCTCAGTAAGACCCACAGACTGTAAATATTAGACTGAGGAACTGAGACTGAGGAACAGCTTTTTCCCCAGAGCTGTCTCCCTCCTGAACTCCATCCCCCCGCTGACCCCCCTTCCCCTGCACATCACCTCACACCCATCATCCCCCCCCCCACCACTCCTCCTGGTCATACACACACATCTCTCATCCACCTGTATTATTGTACTATAGTATGTTCATATCCCCTCAATAAGTTATCGACCTGTACAATATGTCTGTATATTATCTGTAATCTAGTATAGCATGCTCACAGCACCTTAATCTGTATATTATAATCTGAAGAATATACTTATATTTATAGCATCCCATTAATCCATCCATATATACCCAATAATTCACTTTCTTAGTCTACATCTGTAAATTGTGTAATTACTAGTACATAGCACAGACTCTTGCACTTTCTGCTTATTTGCACTTCTGGTGAGATGCCAAACCTCATTTCGTTCCTCTGTACTTTTATATGTGTAATGACAATAAAGTTGAATCTCATCTCATATTAGAGCCACTAACAAAGCTTGTAAATTTAACTTTATTGGCAGTTCATTGTGTGCAAAAATTTAAAGGTGAAAGGAAGCAGGTTAATGGCTTTATTATATAATTATTCTGATAAAATGTATTTGTGTCGTGGGTTATTTCCTTTGAAGCTCTTACGTTTCTTAACACACCCACTGACGTAGAGTCACCGTCCACCTCCCAAAGAGTTGATCACCTACATTTACTCATATTCACCTTCTTTGTCGTCAGAGAAACTGAGGGTAGGGTCTGTTTTCTTCTTATTCCCATGCTTGTCTTTAGTCAGCTCCGACGTCTCCTCGTCTCCTGCGTCTATGCTGCCCGTGTTGGGAGACGTTGTTTCCCGCTTGGAGCTGCAAGAGATGCCGCGGCCCTGTGCAGGTTTGGACGACTTGTTTACCACAGCTGCTGCTTTCTCATTATCCTCTCCACCTCCGCTCTTCTTCCTCTCGTCCTCCTCGTCACTTGAGTTCTCTTTTCTTTGCCGAAAGTTCCTCCGAGGCTTTTTGTTGAACATTTTGCACTACACTCACTTAAACTCTGGTTGTGTACCCAAAATGAACTGAAAGGTAATATCATAAAGTGTTTGAAGGAGTCGCAACATCTAACGTAAAGAAAACTTCTTCTTCTTCTTCTTCTTCTTTGGGTTTTAGTGGCAGCTGACATTCAAAAGAAGTCGCATTGCTGCCATCTGCTGGATTTAGCTACTCTTCACATTCATAAATGCTCTTCAAAAGTACTCAACACATAATTAAATAGGCATTTTCAGCCTCTCCCTCTTTTTCACCACAGGCCAAAATACTTTATAATCTCTCCTTGTAACTGTGACCTGTGACTGTGACTGTGACCTACTTTTCTTCCATAATTTGCTCCACCCATTCTGGTGGGTCGGTGGGTCGCGACTCAACACATGCATATGAAAAATTACTTAAAATTGCATATTTTACCCATTATTGTGAACATATATACAAAAAAATAGATCAAGAGATTCATTATTTTCTGCTTCTAGCATTTCTTTCAATACATCACTAAAATAATATTTGCCTATAAGTCTTCCCGGGTTTTTTAACCACCTCCATGGACAGCGAGGGTCTTCATGTCTCTAGCACCTTATTTTGGGGGTCACATGCCGAAAAGTTTGGGAACCCTTGCTGTAGCCTATAAGCATTAGGAAATCTGACATTCTCTTACTTCAAAATTGTATTGTGGGTCTAACACTGCTGATCCTGTTGTATTTGTCATTTGTCTTTGTTCTGTGTGTTCATAAAACTCATCAACCAACATTTATTTTCCTTCTCATTGTTCTCTAGTTACTCTAAATCTACTTCAGCTGTATCAAGCATCCACACTTAATACAGTTGGACTGATGTCCTTGTCCCATATCTCTCTCCACTATCCCCTATCCACCCAAAACTGGACTGAAGTGTCCTCTCTTTTTCCCAGCACGCCTTCAACCCTGTTTTTGTTGGGTGTCTGTCTGTATGTCCACTCAGGTTCAACCAATCATTTGCTCACCTGTTTCCTCCTGAGACAGAGCGGCATCTCTCCTCGCCTACCTCAATGTGAAGTGCACATATTAGAGATGACGGAACTGCCCCAATATATGTGAAGAGGTTGGGCCTGAATCAATGCTCACTTTGCAAGTGCTGTTTTTACTGCCATACACCACAACCCAGAATCAATTCTACATCTAGGCCTACATTAAGGCACTGGAATGCACTATGGGTTATGTAGGCTAGTTATTGTATAAAAGCTTACCAACCAACCTGCAAAGAAAGAATTCAGCAACTTTGGTTTGCTCATTAAGTGTAATGTCATAGATTAGACAGTGATGTGTGCACTTTTATTTGATGGGCAATTCTTTTAGGGCCCACCTTTTTTACTGAGTAGGCAAAATATTCTGTGTTTAAATGAATAATGAATGGCTCTTAGCTCAGGAGATGATTGTTAAAATGGGGTAAGTTGAAGAACGTCTGAACACCCAGGAGCTAACTTGAGTCTCTGTAGTTTCTGTGTTACCTTCTCATATATCTTTTTCCCATCATATGTTGTCCTCTCCCATCTGTTCAACTTTTATTCATCTCTCTGTCTCTCTCTCTCTCTCTCTCTCTCTCTCTCTCCCTCTCTCTCTCTCTCTCTCTCTCTCTCTCCCTCTCTCTCTCTCTGTCTCTCTCGCTCCCTCGCTCTCTCTCCCTCCCTCTCTCTCCCTCTCTCTCTCTGTCTCTCTCTCTCTCCCTCTCTGTCTCTCTGTCTCTCTCTCTCTCTCTCTCTCTCTCTGTCTCTCTCTCTCTCTGTCTCTCTCCCCCTCTCTCTTTCTCTCTCCCTCTCTCTCTCTCTCTCTCTCCCTCTCTCTCTCTCTCTCTCTCCCCCCCTCTCTCTCTCTCTCTCTCTCTCTCTCTCTCTCTCTCCTCCCACTAGGTGGACGGTCAGAGGTTAACAGCGCCCCGCAGCGGACACACAGCCTCCTCCGCTCACTCGTCGTCAGCCATGTTGTTGGTGTGACATACTGAGTTATCAGCAACAGGTTCCCTAATACTGCTGCTAAACCCCTACGTTAAAGTTTCTCCAACAAATACTGCTTTCTTTGGATACTGATCCTCTACCGTGTGTACAGGAAACCGTCCAGAAGTGGTGGATAATAACTCCAGGCCGCTCAGAAGCTCGAAAGTTGGATGTTTTTGTGGCCGTGGTGAGAGAGGTACGTAGGCGAAAGTGCTTATCTAAGCAGTGTAAGTTTGATTTTGTTACTGTAATGTTTTCAAAGGTCGCTTTTCGGGTTCTCAGTCGCTTTCGGCCTGTGTAACAAGTCATCCTGTTTGATTCTGACTTATGAGTATAAAAGGAAAATCTGTCTATTGAGGGGGCTGATGCTTCTCAGCCTGAGATGAGGTTAGCAGTAAAGTTATGATTTTAGTTCACTATATTTTTGATCAGATTTTTTTTTGGCACTTGAGAATATGCCAACTTCAATATGGAAATAGGCTCAAAAGGCAGATTTGCAGGAAAGTCTCCTAAATTCCTCTCTCAGTTCAAACTAGTTCTGCAGGTTGCTGGCAGGTCTCTGCTGGTGACAAGTGATCAGGGAATGCTACTGTATCAGTTCAACTTAGTTTAACAATGACGATTGATGAATATATTTCACGATTAGGGAGTTGCAGAGCTCAGTTATGTCTTATACTTCATAAGTGGGTTTCCTATTCTAACACACCTATTATAAATTAATTAGATTTTTTTGCAAGAATTTGTGAAATATTTTAATCTTTTTTTTCTGTAGAGAAGACTGATGCTTTAAGTGCATCATGAACGTTTTCAAATGTAATATATATGCAAATGTTATTGTTAAGTAGTCTGGCCCTTCCCCTTAAGAGCCTTAGGCCAAAACGCGTTTATACTCATGGAACTATATGGAGAAATCATATTATTGTGTTGTCTAGGATGGGTTCCTATATTTGCATGCAGATAGAGACTGGAGGCTTGGCACGTTGCTTATTATGTTTTATTTAACCAGTAATGTAACAGGCTAGCTGCAGCTTTCTTAACCTAGAATAAACCGGCTGTCTTTGTTGTCATCCTAAGAGTTATTATGTTGTTATTAGTGAGCATGGCTTAGGAGTGAATGGGGACATTGCCTTTAAAATGATGTACCTTGTTATTGCCTCTATGATTGCAGTCTTTGCCTAAGCATCCTCAGAAGCAGGAAAAATGCCTGTCAGCTGCTGTGTATGGCCGAGCCTCAACTCCGACCTGTATGTTGAGTCAAGTGTCAGGTTTTTTTTCTTCTTCGTGTTGTCATTAACATGAGCTGAATTGCCAGTTTTATCTTCACACTACTCAACATTATAGCTTCTGTTTAAAATATGACCATATGACCTAAAGCAGAATTTGCAACAACAGAAAGCACCCAGATAGGCCCAGTAACATGTTGGTGATGGTAAGTTAAACATTTTATCTCCTCGTCCTGAACATTTCCTTCAAACAACAATTAATCAGAGCACCCTCTCAACTCCTGGTGTATCTTCTCCTGATATATGGCCAAACCAGGGTGGGTCAAAGAACAACAAAGAAGCGAGAATGATGCCTTGCCTCTTAAAAAAAACAACACGGAACTGCAAGCAGCATTAATCAAACAAATCCTGACATATAGGCCTACTCCTAAAGTCATTTGCAGCACTTCACCCAGCATATCAAACTACTGCTGGATGAGGTGCTGAATGCAGAGGGGGCGTGTGTTGGGACAGCTGGAGAGTACACACCATGATGGGACAAAGTTGGAAAAAAGACAGACAAAAATAACAAGAGAATGAGTTACAAAGGACAAAGTTGTCAAAAGGAGCATCATTAGATTTACTGTAGAAACAATCACAAAGAGGGAGTGTCATGGAGCAGAAAGGGAGTTGTGGATAGAGTTGATGTCATCTGTGTGAGGTCAGTGAGTGAAGCAGCTGAAAATCAATCATTTTATAGAACAACAGGCCATGCTTGTTTCAGAGGAGTGATGAGGACAGGTCAGGGTCACACTACTGCTATAGTATGGGTTTAGAGGCAGAGGGACATAGATATACAGTGACACATGGAGAGAAAGGGGAGAGACAGTCAGGGAATGAGGAAGTGAAACTATTAAGATAAGAACAAATATTAATAAAAAACAGTCAGTTTTGCCTTCTCTGGCATTTCATTGTGTGCTTAATTTCCTTCTTGATTATTTAGTTTTAACTTACATTTACAATAACAACAGACAACAGACATAACAACGTTTAACAATAAGTCAGAAAAAAAGATATGGGACACATATCTCCATTCAATACAGTCTAGATCTGCCAGTTGACAGCATGAACCACTCTTCAGACAACATCCTTGGTGGACAAAAAAGGGAAAACAAACAGACACACACCACCACCACCACCACCACCACCACCACCACCACCACAACAACAACAAAAGGAAACACTTGGGTGGGGATCAGCCAGGATATCAGGCAGTATACCTGAGATTGCACAGAATTAAGACAGCAGCAGAGATTGCTTTATTTCCGTCAGCATGGTGCAGAATAGAGAATGTTTAGGGTTTTTTTTAGATTTGTTTTGGGGCTTTTTATGCCTTTTATTTTAGAGGTAGTGGACAGAGTCAGAAACCAGGGAGAGAGAGGGGAATGACATGCGAGAAATGAGCTCTCAAGGACTTAAGCCTCTGGGGTGCGCACAATAACTAGGCTTCCGGTGCGCCAGAATAGAGAGTGTTTAGTAAATAAAAACACAGATGCACTCAGAGAGAGAAATTAAGAAAGACAGACCTGCGTTGTGAAGGCTGCTACTGAAGCAGTGAAGGTCAGTGGCAACCAGGATATTTATCCAACAGTGTCATGTGTTGTATATACAGACAAAGAGACAGAAATGTCCCAGTGTTTCAGCAGGGACCAAAGCAGAACTGAAGCTGGTGAGATCAGACCATAGACTGTATAAAACATGGACGCAGTCTTGGTAACGTCACCCATTGGTTAACAAAGGGGAATTTTGAAGCCCAACAATGGCAGTCGCCATATTGAAAACGGTATCTCAACCCTCATTTTTGGTCAACCTAGAAACAAACAAAGAGGTAGAGCTCATGCAGACCTTGGTGAACA